TATATATATATATATATATATATATATATATATATATATATATATATATATATATATATATATATATATATATATATATATATATATATATATAAAATTTACAATTAAGCCTCTATTTCATTCAGTATTTTATTTTTAAAGATATAATTCTTAATACATGATCAATAGTCCTTTAAATTGATTAATGCCAATCGACAAATTCTGCTTACTGTGAAAATTTTCAAATATCATTTGCATTACACAAGACCTCAGATAACCATTAAACAGATTATGGATGAAGATATCGCTCTAATAATTAAGATGTGTGCATGTGTCGTTCAAACGTAAAATTTCCTTGTGGATCAGGTTTCATTTAATATATACCTTCGGTGTTCCATGTCGGAAATCAACTATAGACCAGTTCTTAACTTATGGAAATGTAACCTCCCAAGATGATCCGTGATGGTTATAGTACAATTAGGAGCAAGACATCAATTAAGGAGAAGAGTTGAGGGAAATCTAATCGTTTAAGAAAGTTTATCAAGTACTTCTTCTCAATTTTCTCCTCTTTTTTTTTTTTTATCGAATTCTGGAGATTTTTTTGAGTGTTTGAAGAATTAATCGTTTGCTCTTTAATAAATTTGAAAAAAAAAATATTTATACAACTTTTTGATAAATACAATTAGGTATATTAAACTGATCAATGAATGGACAATTCTTAGTGTTATGTTGAGCAAAAAAAAAAAAAATGTATTTACAGGTATATACAATTGATTTTGAACATTTTTGGTTTCGATTGTTTGCATTTATCTTTTTCGTATATTTTTCTTTCGATAATTCAGGAAGAATCTAAATTACTAAACAGTATTAAATCAAGAGTAAATAACTTTTTTTAACATTACACATGGTTTTATGATAATCCATTGATCATTATAAAGAATTTTTTAGCAAAATGTTTTTTTCAAAATATTATAAAAATGAAATGATTGAAATAAGTCTTTTATCTAATGACAAAACTTGCTACTTTCTTATTTTATATGCAGTTTTTTTGTGAATAACTTATCATTTTCTTTTTATACTTTAGATCGATTGCTAATTTCAAAATGAGTGCTTTTGAAAATAGAAAGCCTTTTGTAGCTGTTTATGACCAATGCAAAGAATTGCAAAACTAGCGATAGTTCTGAAACACTCTTCCATTGTCTACTATTGATTTACATCGAACAAAATATTGAAAAATGGAAAGGAGCTTGGCAGAGGGAAAGAACTTGTAGGTCTAGGAATAAAACCCCAAATTCTTTTTTACACTTAGTGTTGTTCTTACTGAGCAAATATTCAAACCTTCTTTGATCTGTGAATATTAGTGTACTATGCCTACAAACTCTTTTCCATGCTGAATTCTTCTTTTTCAATTTTTTGTACCACACAATACAAAGTAGAAGGTGAAATACTCGGTGTTTCAGAAAAATCACCAGATTTAACAATCCTTATACATTACTTAAATAGGCTTTCTTTTTCAATAGCATTAATTTTGAACATCAGCAGACAAAAGGAAGTATATTACATGTAATGGAAGACTTCCTATGAAATCTGCATGTATCATTAGAAAGTATGGGGTATTGTCATTAAATAAAATAATAACACAAAAATATTGTAGGTTATTAATCGAAAATTTTAGATAAATGTATCATAAAAAAATTCTCAATAATATATATATATATATATATATATATATATATATATATATATATATATATATATATATATATATATATATATATATATATATATATTCAGATGGGTAACAATATCATATCAGAAGTACTAATAACCTGAGGTTTAATTTGTTGTCACGTGTTATCATTTGAACTTTTATTGTCAAACTTGAACGAACACCAAAGGCAGTTTTTGCTTTTCTTACGACTTGTAATTCTAAAACACATATTTCCAGATATGTCTATGGATGTATAGGGTGAATTCACCATGCGTCGGACACCCTCGCACTTCAACAAGTTCTAGCGATATCGCTACCGACCGAATATTATCAAAATGGAGCTTAATATGTAGTATATGGTTAGAATGTAAATTTTTGACACAATCGTGTGCTATATATTGAGAAAATATCACTTAAAAACGATTTTTTCGAAATAAGTCAGAATTCACCATGGTTCGGACAATATTCACCATGTATCGGACATACGGTATTTTGAACCGGAAAATATCATACCTTTATCTCGGTGCTTTAAAATTAGTGATGTCGAAACATTTTCATCTTTTTTTTTAAAATTAACCTTATTGTTTAATTTGAATGACTATTTCGATCCACAAATGTGAAGAGATTTTAGATGCATAACATCGCCTCAGAAAAATTTTACAATGCTTAGTAATATGCCAACTCGCGCCTTTGTCTCGTGGGTTATCATCATCTAGTTTAAAAAAATAAATTGTGTCCACTTCTACTCGTCATATATCGATAACTTGTATTTTCACTAAAAATTTTGAGTTTTTATTTTCTATTTCCGCTAAAAACAGCTGTCATTTGGGTTTTATATGAAAATGGAAGTGATTACCCATGCATCGGAAAGTGTCCGATGCATGGTTAATTTGTGTCCGATGTACGGTGAAATAAACATACTAGTAAAAAACAACTCTGATATTATACAGACATTGCAGTAAAATTTTTGCAGAATTTCTTTAAAATTATCAATCATTGACAAATTTTACCCATGTCCGACTCGTTCCATTGAAGTCTAGTTAAAATAAAGACAACTCAAAAAATTGCAAAATTGTAAAATTCTGGTTACTCCCCTTTGATGACGGCAGGCGTTGGCACGATAAAGAGCACTCACTGCTCAATGACCCCGAGTGACGAGTTATGGTCTAAATTTGAAGCCCTTCACCGGTATATGATTGATTGATTATATATTGTTTAACGTCCAATTCGAGAATAATTCACTCATATAAAGACGTCACCGTATGCCGTTGAAGAGCTTCAAATTTAGACCTATATTCGGCACTCAAGGTCATTGAGAAGTGGGGTTTCTTTATCGTGCCAACGCCTACCGTGACATGGGACCTCGGTTTTTTAAGGTCTCATCCGAAAGACCCGTGACTTTCACTTCTAGTGCAGGGTGCTTGGCGAAGGAACGTTTACGTCTTAGGTTTGACGCGGAGCGGCGAACGAGAATCGAACCCGGACCTCCCGATCACGAAGCGAGCGCCCTACCACTAGGCTACCGTGACCGGTTACCGGTATATGATGACGTCTCTATATGAGTGAAAAATTCTCGAATGGGACGTAAAACAACACACTATCAATCAAAACTTATAATGTAAAACATTTCAATTCATTACATTTCTGTAATAGTTAAGAGTCCAGTTTGAGATATTGGTTGAATCTGTCCGAGAAATTGTTTACATTTACTTACTAGTATTCATAATACTTAATCTTTTTGATTAAGTCTTATGAATACTAGTAAGTTCCTCCGAATGTGATGCAACATTATCAACAAAAAGTACATGAGCTCCCAAAGAAGATGTAGATAAAGGTCATTTCTAAGGTTTTAGATTGAACATATGCGTAAGATGCATATTATAAGTGATCTTAAATTATCATATATGTATTAAATAATTTATTTCATCAATAATTAAGATACCAAATAAACTCCCCAAAAAAGGCTAAATTTAAATTTACTAAACATTTTCTAAAGTTTAAACTTTAAATTAAGTGTTCGAAGTAGATTATTTTTTATTGTGTTTTTTAGTTGATTTCACATGAAAGCAACAAAAGTATATTTCATCTTTCTTAATAAGTAATTTAAATTCGACGTCATCGATAAAAAGAGAAAAGCTGGAGTTTTGATGAAGAAAAGGTGTGACTGAGACTGAGATACTTTGAAGCACAACAATGTACAATATAAAGTGTCTGTGGCTGTAATTTAGGAACTTAAGAGCACAGAAAAAAGTGTAAATGGCTGAGATTTTCGAAGCACATCAAGAAAGATTGATACTGTAAGAGGCTTTGCTTTGGGTACTTGGGAGTATATTAAGAAAATGTGGCTGTGATTTGGGTACTTGCAGGTACATCTAGAAAAAGTATTAGTGAATTGTATTTCGTACTTTGAAGCACAAGAAAAATTGTAAGGGATTGGGATTTGGGTACTTCGAAGTACTACAAGAAAGAATTGGTTTGGGTACTTTGAGGCACAATAACAATTTGTAAGTGGCTGTAATCTGCGTACTTGGAAGCACATTAGCACATTTAATATAGAAAGCATAAAGAAATTCACTTTTGTAAGGATACCCACTTCCGCCCCAACCCGGGCTTGGGAATAATTGGGATTTCGATCCTTGGAAAACTGGAAAAATTTGAGATATTGGCTGTAATTTGGGTAAATGGAAGCACAAGAAAGGGTTAGAGATTAACTTAGATTTGGCTAATTGGAAACATAATAAAAACAGTGCGAGGGTTTACCTGGGATTAGGATTAATGTAAATTACAAGAAGCTGAGATTTAGATACATGAAAAAAAATACGACAGCTGAGGTAAGGGTAATTTGAAAGCTCGAGACAGTAGGAAAGAATAACTGGGATGCGATATCCGGTAGAAACAAGACAGCGTGATAGAGTAGTGGGTCCCTGGAGAAGTCTTTAAAACAGTGTAAGGATATGACTGAGGTTAAGGGGTTTTTAGTGTCAAACTGTAATTTGTTAGAAATGCATGTCAAGCAGGTCAAAAGAACTTACTCACTTTAACCTATAAGACTTTATCTGTTTAATATGTATAACATATTTTTATCTAATTGTAGAAAGTCGGATTGGTCGAAGGGAAGTAATAACAAGATTGTTCCAATCAAACTAGACATCACAAAGAACTCGATGCTCTTTCTTTTGGAGCCGATCTATAACAATCCATCAAAATGCTGCATAGTGTGGTGATTTAATTACTATTACGCAATTAAGGGCTGTTATTGAAGTCATAAATGCAAAATTAAAACCGCAAAGCAGTGACAATTGAAGACAAATGGGGTTTTTAACAGATTTATTTATATTTTTCTTCTCTAAAACCTTCTGTCAATTCTGCAATCTTTGCCTTGACGTCACTTGTTAGATTGAGCACTAAAGTTACTTCTTTGAAAAAATCCGATCTGGAAACCTGCAAAAGACGTAATTTAATTACCTGTTTCAGTCTGTATTTCTTTTTATTGCGATGAAATATTTACCATCAAATTTCAAATTAACTTATTTGGAAATGTAATAACTTCTTTGACAAAGCATCATAAAATAAAAAATCAATGTACCCCCTACACAAATATGATTTCAGATACAAATGTTTTCGACAACTTCTTATAAATTTCTTTTTATTTCTAGTCAATTTTATGCAATCTGTGTCTTACTTCACGAAATCCATGCTTTGTAAACATTTTTATGCTGGGCTCATTATCGAATCCAATCTTTGCTCGCACTTTTTCTAGCTTCAATTTCTCCCATCCTGCATATTAATTTAGATTGAATTTGATCATGGTCTTGAGAATGCAGATATATTTTAAACGTAATTATAAATGTAACATGTATTATAATAACATGATTGAAGTCAAATTCAAATATTTCCAATGTTAATTTGAGTGAGCTGAAATATATACTTACCATAACGAATCATCAGGAACAAAGACTCTGTACCAAAACCTTTGTGACGCACATTCTCTTCTGACAAGACAATAAGTTACAACTTCAGGCTCTAAAATCCTTACTTTACTGTGAGTTTCCTTTAAAATAATTCTTTTTGAGGAAAATGTGTTATAGTTATTTATATGGCATGCTTTTAAGAGGCACCTAACAAGCACTGATAGAGGTTCCTGTCCCAAAGACCACAGATTGAGCCAAGATACCAGGATATGCTATGACACAATAATTGTTGCATATGCACAATAAATACTGCTTGATAATTGATCAACGCTTAATTTAAAAGAATAACCAAAAGTATCTGAGGAGACTGTTGTTATACTCGTGTGGATTATAATAAAGATGAGTTTCATATAGTCTACTAGTCTACCAAGTCTTATTAAAATCATGCCAAAACTGTTGAAGAAGCGTTTTGAAAAAAATTTCACAGAAATTTCTATTTTAATAACCATGACAACACCGTTTTCGAAATCAATAAGAGGCCCATGGGCCACAACGCTCACCTGAGTCAATATGGCCCTGCTCTTCTTCATCAGCAGATTTCCTCTCCTATATATTCATATGTAAAGCTTTGATCGCCTGTTCTAGACATACCCTTGGCATATCCCCTGGTGCCATGTTTTGAATGAAATTGAATCTAAACTTTCTGAGGATGCTTCTATTTTCAAATAACTAATCATGGGTTTGCTGTTCTTGAAAACGGAATTTTAAAGATGTCTGCCATCCTACCCGGGGGGGAGGGGGGGTTCATGATTTGAACAAACTTGAATCTACACTACCTGAGGATGCTTCCGTATCAATATGACTAATCATGGCTTTGTTGTTCTTGAGAAGAAGATTTTTAAAGATATTTCCTATATATGTTCTTTTGAAAAACTTTGATCACCCATTATGGACCCACCCTACTACTGGAGGATGCCTTGAACAAACCTGAATCTACAATTCTTGGGGATGCTTCCATATCAATATGACTAATCATGGCTTTCATGGCCTACCCCCCGGGGTCATGATTTGAACAAATTTGAATCTACACTACCTGAAGATGATTCCATATCAATGTGACTAATTATGGCTTTATTGTTCTTGAGAGGAAGATTTTTAAAGATTTTTCCTATATATTCCTATGTAAAACTTTGATCCCCCATTGTGGCCCCACCCTATCCCCAGGGGTCATGATTTGAACAAACTTGAATCTACACTATCTGAGGATGATTCCATATCAATATGATTAATCATGGCTTTGTTGTTCTTGAGAAGAAGTTTTTAAAAGAATTTTCCTATATATTCCTATGTAAAACTTTGATCCCTCATTGTGGCCCCACCCTACCCCCGGGGGTCATGATTTGAACAAACTTGAATGTACACTATGTAATGAAGGTTTCACCTAAGTTTCAACTTTTCTGGCCCAATGGTTCTTGAGAAGAAGATTTTTAAAAGATGACACCAAATTTTCACCAATTCTTAATTATCTCCCCTTGGAAGAGGGTGTGGCCCTTCATTTGAACAACTTGAACCCCCTTTACCCAAGGATGCTTTGTGGCAAGTTTGGTTGAAGTTGGCCCAGTGGTTCTGGAGAAGAAGTCGAAAATAAGAAAAGTTTACAGACGGACGGACAGACAGACAGACGGACAGACAGCTAGACAAACAGACGGACGACGGACAAAATGTGATCAGAAAAGCTCACTTAAGCTTTCAGCTCAGGTGAGCTAAAAACTGTTAAATAGAATTATGTAAAGTCTATTCGAGCAACAGTCTAATCGAAATCGAATCAAAACTGAGGGAGGAGTAGCATTTGGAATGAATTTCAAAGAAATAACGTTGGCAACATCGTTCATCGCAATAATAAACCGATACATAGCATTATGCATTTTAGTATAGTCTATTTCTGAACCAAGTCTAACTGAAATCGAACCAAAACTGAAAGAGGAGTAGGGTTTAGAATGAATTTTAAAGAAATTTCTATTTTTAGTAATCATGGCAACATCGTTCATCGAAATCAAAAACCGATATCTATAATTATGCATCTTAGTGTAGTCTAATTGTGAAGCATGTCTTATTGAAATCGGATCATATCTGGGAGGAGAAAAAAAATTGTTCACGGACAGACAGACGGACAGCTAGACAGACACCTTACTTATGCATACGTTCTTCTGGTTTCTGACCAGTAGAGCTAAAAAGGGTAAAAGGTGTTACTCCACATTGATTGTAATCTGCTCAACACAACTAAAATTCTCTTTTTCAGTATGATCTTTGATAAACAGATGTTTAAATATAGTAAAAGTGAATTTCTAGTATTTGATTAACTCAGTGAACAATTTAAAACTTTTAAATATTTACAAGGGCGGATCCCAAGGTAATGTTACAACTGTTTTAAAATTTTATTCATTATCAACAAATTTTACCTACTAATACCCTTATCTATTTTGACTTTTGCTTACATTCAGTTATATACATACTTCATAAAATATTAGGATAAACATAAAGTTTTGTTTTGTCTATCGCCACACGGCAGAAAATACCTACGTTATGACGTTACTTTTCAGCACTCATTTTCTTTTCATCCGCAGATCTTTATAACCTCTCATGTGCTTCTATTTAAAACAATATGAACTGCATTTTTGCTGTTAAAATGTGATTTTATGATAAATCTGTATGTAACTTAAATATTCCAATCATTAGACTGAAATAGAGTGTTAAATTGTTTCAGAATTGTTTCAAATTTCTGTACAATGGAATGTATAGTATTATATAAGAAATCAATATTGTACAGGACGACAATAATGTAATTTTGCTTCAGTCAAAGTTTAAAACAAGTTCTTTCATTGCAAATAAAAAAAAAAAAGTTTACGAGGGTTGTTCGGTAAGTTCGTGGACTATGCCAATTTTCGTTATACTGTCTTCAAGAAATTTAAAATGAGCACATTATCATATGTAAAAATATTTTGTTTGTTTAAGTGTGAAGTTTCATCCCATGTGGTTTAATAGAATTCATGTTATTTTATTTTAAAATCAACCCGTTTTGTAACCACGGAGCAAACTCAACAATACTGTAACGTCAAAAACATACCGACACGAGGTTCTCAAAAATACTATTCCTGTACATTTCACACGGCATTGCTTAACTGCTGCTCCGTGACGTTCAACGACGTCATCTTTTTTGCCTATTTCAATGAGGACTACCTATCTTCTGAAACTGATTTCTTTTCAACTAAACAAAATATTATGTCATAATTTGGAATCAGAAACGAAGAAACAATTTTTAATTTGACCGCGTAGAATTTTTTCCATTTTTGTGTCATTTTACAGAAGTTATGACTTCAGATATTATTTAGTGTCCTGATTGTAAATTACAAAATTCTGACTTGCTCCGTGGTCCGATTTTCGCATTTTTTAAAGTCTAAATAAGTTTGAAATAAATCATGATATTCTAAAAAAAATTTCATATATATCATTTGGATTTACTGTTGAAATATTTCTTCCAAATTTGGATATAATATGACGTTAAGTAAAAAAGCTATGACGTTAGTCCACGAACTTTCCGAACAACCCTCGTATAGAGCTTCTTTTTCTGTCAATGAAATAGTTAATTACAATATTGCAACAAAAATATCCAACATCAAAGTTGCAGATCATATTGCTTTAATGATCTTTACTGCCATTTTGATAAAAGTAGCCTTTTTTGAGTTGTAATTTTAAAATTATTTGAACTTTGTCCAAATGTTATTACTGTATTCAATCCTATGTATCGTCAGATTCAAGAGTAAGTGACGTTAAAGGATGACTCATTGTCCACTCACTTTCTTCTTGCTCAGTTAAAATGTTGATAACCTGACTTAACGCGAGACTTGACGTCAAAAACATTGACAACTAATTAAGGAAAAATTAATATTATAAAGATACAAAAGTTGCATAAAATACCAGTGTAATTGGAAGTCAAACGATGAACAGTTACATGGAAGAAAAAAGTGGTTGGAAAATAGCCTTTTACGTCACTTCCTTGAATTCGCAGCTACGCTAATTCTGCATCTACGCACAGCGGAATGGATATGCAAATGTACTTAAAAATGTTAAATATTTATTTTGAAATAGCTCAAAACTAGACGCTCTAGCACAAGTTTAGTACATGAAATAAAACGTATACGTGAGAGATTTAAGATTTTTTGGAGTGCCGAAAAGCAACGTCATAACGAAGTCAGTAACATTTTTGCAATGCAGCGATAAACTAAACCAAAGGTTGTGTTCATTTTAATATTTTAAAAAGTATTGCATATATTTCATTGAAAAACAAAACCATTTATATGTTTACTAAAACCAAAACAATATAAAAAGTAAATCAATTGTAATTTTTTTAAAATTTATTTTAATACAGATATTTAAGTATATTTTATACTAGTTTTTACCTGCTACCATCAAGTTTATTTCTCCTGCAAGTTCATCTTCTTCTTCAGTCAGGAATAAATTGACGTCACCAACCATAGCATCTAAACACAAAGATTTAATTCAGACACAAATTAAACAGAACAGTGCTTCACTGCGTTCGAAGTCCTTCGGATGAGACCGTATAAACCGAGGTCCCGTGTCGCAGTAGGTGCTGGCACGAAAAAATCCCTCACTGCTCAATGGCCCTGAGTGCCGAGCAGGTGGTGGCTTCTCCATGAGTGAAAAATTCTCGAGAGGGACGTTAAACAACAAACAAACAAACAAACACTGCGTTCGAAATATACTACTAGTATGTTTCAACAAAGAAATAAAAAGCCACTTTGTATTCATATGAAAAACATGTACCGTAAATCACTTTTTATCCGCGAAACTTTTTTCGCGTAATTACGCGAGACTATTTGCCATCGAAAATTTCATTTTCGCGTTTAATTGCATTACAGCAATAAACAAAATTCGTGAAAACTTTTTTGTTTTGCTTATATGTTCCAAATTACTATCTAAGGTGTCGTGAAAATTTGGTGATCTATAGTACATGAAATTTACAAAATAAAAACGTATATACAATAAAAGAGGAAAAATAACAATTAACAAAATTAGAATTCAATACAGTATATATGTATATATACATTCTGATAATTCCAATCTTATTTTATCAAGCACAAGCACAGCACTGTTGACTCGGATAAGATTATATATAGATACCTGCACTTCAAATACATTTCTTGGCTTCAACTTTATCATGAAGGAAAATCCATGTACATAATATATATTTTCGTGTTATTGGAGTTATTATTATATTATAAGGTATTATTATATCTTATGTACGACGTAACATATAACTTTAATTTGATCTTACCAATTTCTGTTTTAGGACCATTATACTTTTCTTTGTCTAGCATTATGAATGTACATTCTGAAATACAACCATCGATTTAAAGTCAACTGAACTTTACAACTTTTAATCACGATAAATTCTGATTAACAAAATATCTATGCAAAATCAATAACTTTTGTTTTCAAAATTGTTCTGCATTTTATCTTTTGACTCTTGCCTAAACATTATAAGACGAACCAAAACAAAATTTACGTTTAAAGAATTGAATTATATTCATTCTTCAATAATAGCTTACTGAACTCATCATTTCTCCAACTCTTCTGCATTCCATACTCCTCTTCAAGAGAGAGGGGTTCAGATGCTGTCAATTTCTGAAGCTCTTCTGACTTCATCCATTCATGATACCTAGTAAGAAGGAAATAACAGTACTAAAAGTAGCTGCACGTAGAATATATTTAAACGAGATCATATATGCAGATCAAAAATAAGCCACTTTTAATAAAATTCTAAGGAAACTTTGATAGAATCACACAAAGGGAAGGGGGAGAGTGATCCATATACATGTGTATTTATTCTCTCTCTCTCTCTCTCTCTCTCTCTCTCTCTCTCTCTCATTTGTCGTCTCCAAGAATCATTTTACTCAGCTTTTCTTATTCATGATATATCAGCACTGGGTATTGCTTACCAAAACTATGTTATCCTTCTTCTACGTCAATCATAATATTTTATTTGTTCCATGGAAAAAATCAGAACTACGTACTTTCACCATAAATTTTGATGACATTAACATTGAATGTAATCAATTTTTAGAGCGCATGTAGGTAGTGGAAAAGGAGCCTCGAAAATCTGTACATAAAGAAGATGGGTGAACATGACGAGCGAAAAGCCTATAAAATGCGACAAACATGAAGGTGAAAAACTAAATCTCAATTATATCAAAATTTTGATTTTTCATCAAACATTAAAATTTACTTTATGTAAAATCTCTATAATTTGCAAAAATCCCTCAAAGATTGAAATTATTTGCCTATAAAATATTATACACACACTAAAGAGGGTAAAAAGAGTCTTTTTCTCATACTATAACACTATTTTTCGACATGAGTGGGTCTTCGCTCTATTTTTTGGAAAGTTAATCCTCAAAGTTTGCATGAAAATATACAGTTTTGGTTACCAAAAATATGGAGCAAAGACCCACTATACCTTAAAAATATACTTTTATGACACAACATTCGCATCTTTTCGAGAAATACTCCATTAAGTCAAGGGTCATATCACAAACATGATTTAAACGCCACCCTTCATCAGGACTTGTGTAGTCTAGTGGCTAGCGTGCTAGTCTCAAAAACAAAAATGATACTCAGGATTTTTATTGCTTTGGGTTCGAACCCCACAAACACCAAATTATTTTTTTAATAAAAGAATAAATTTTGCCGGGAAAATTTTCCTCAGAAAAGTTTTGTTTATCATGATTTCATAAAATTCAATAATGAGAATTTTACTCTAAATACTAAAGTACAAAATGAACATGATTTTTATGTATCTGAAGCTATAGGCTTTCTGCACGCTATGTTCGCCCATCTCAATCTAATTAAAATTAGATGTTCCGAATCCGCTACCGCTTCTCAAACGGTAGCGGATTCGGAACATCTAATTTTAATTAGATTGCGCCCATCTCCTTTAACAGTATTTTGTACCATCGTCGCTTTTTCGGACATCAATTGTGTATTTCATTATCACTGGAATGAACTCAAGAAAAAAAAATCAGCTATTAGTGCTGTGTAAAGAACACTTGAAAAATTCCTTCTCGAATCTGAAATTGCCTCTGTCGACCATTCACTTCCGGTTATACAACGTACATTGCATTGTACATGTACATATGGTCTACCATCAGATACATGGTACAACTGAGTTTCAACATTTTACTTGTATTTTCATGATTATCATTCCACTCACCCCTCTACATTATTATCGTGTCGGCAATGAAATGGGAGTTTTAACAGTTTAAGCAAGGGTAAATTAGAGTTGCAGCAAATTGGATTACAGCTTTTCGCTTCTAGCCTTCATGATTCTGTCCATGCTAGACCAAGTTTTAGATTAAGGGAAATTAAAAATAAACCAACATCAATCCTGATCATATACCTTTTAATACTAGTATTACAATGTGGGGATACGATGTGATGTGCAGACACATCCAGGCCCAGTCAGGTACCCTTGTGGCATATGTGCGAGAAATGTAGCGTGTAATGCAAAGGCCACATACAAAGCAACGGATGCAATATCTGGTACCATCATAAATGTGCGAATATTAGTCCATGTGCGTTTGGTCTTCCAAGCAAACCTAATCTTAACCTTAGTTGGATTTGTACGAGCTGCAGAATCCAAAACATCTCGTCACAACATACTGCTGAAATATTTGACCATTCCTCCGATACCATTTATTCAAAGCTACCCAGCATCAATAAACAGGATAAAGAATCTGTGTTCGTAAGAACAAAACCAATTTTCTCATCATTAATATCAACCAAATCATATCACCCGAGGCCAGATCTCAATAAATCACCAATTCGGAAAGGTAATTCTATGACATCACATGGCAACAGTGTAATCTCCGAACCAGAATCATTACTTGCATATGATGCCATATCATACATACGACAGCAAAAGTGATTCAAACAACAATATTATATCACAATACAATACATCAAACAACCTGACTTGCCTCTTTATTAATATTCAAAGTTTAAGGAATAATAAGACAGACTTTTATAATATCATACCATGCATGGAACCAGATGTCATCAAAGGTGATGAGACGCATTTGGACGCTGATAATTTAGATGCACAAATTCTATCTTTTTGAATACCACCTGAACACCAGTACAAAGTATATAAGCAAAGTGTAAGTACAAAGTAAACAATAGGAAAACTCTTAATGATAAAGGTGAAGGGGTGTGATCATCTTGTTAAAGCCAACTTACGATTGTGAAGACTGCCCAGATCTTGTACTCTATGTGATTTAAAGTGAGTCAAGTTAACAACACATTGGAAAGATGCGTTTTTAATTGGAACTTACTATCGAGACCAATTCATCGATCAAAGCATTGCAACAACTCGACTTATCATGTCCAAAATATCTAAGTCACCTAAACATAAGAAACTCAAAATTTTTCTGAGAGGAGATTTCAGCCTAAGCGATATCAACTGAACAATGGGTTGCAGCACACAGAGAGTTAGAGATGAATCACACAGATAAACTTAATATATCAATACTGAAATGTTAAGGGCTGGACCAAGTCAACACATACCGATACGACAGGATAGATCTTTGGACTTGTTTATATCATCACACCCAACCCTTGTAGAAAAGATTTACCGGGCCCACCAGTTATAATTAGAGAACATGACATACTAGCCATCCGAACATCACTCAAACCATCGAATTCTACAAAGATCGCTCGAACAGTTTACAACTATAAAAAGGCTAACTGAGAAAAAGGCAAAATTGACATGTCAGACTTGTGTGATTATTTATGTCAGAAGACAGAGCTAAATCATCAGTGGAGTAAAATTGGAATTACTTTAAGGATGCAGTTTTCAAAGTTATAGACACGTGGATTCCCAAAAAGACGGTGAAGAAAAGGGCTGACACCGTGGATGAAGAGGGAGACAAACCGAATGATTTACGAGAAAAAGAGGATGCATAAAGCTTTGAAACATGAAAAAACAGCAGCATTTAAGGAATATAGGAAGTTAGTACGGAACATATCGTAAATATCTGAACACATTGTTGGACGCGGAAGAAGAAAGAAAACACAATATCTAAACACTTCTGGAAGTATATCAAAGCCCGGAAACAGGGTACTATGGGAATTGGAACACTGTTAGCGAACGGGAAGATAGAAGAAACGCCATGAGAAAAAGCAAACATATTAAATGAACAATTTGCACCAGTATTTACCGAGGAGGACACAAACAACATTCCGGAAAGCGGACCATCACCATACACTCCGATGAGCAATATCATCATCTCCCACTCGGGAGCTAGTAAGATCAGCCGGTGCCAAAAAGAAAAGAAAGGAAGTGGATTAGATATGATACCCATTACATTCTTGAAACATACAGCCGACATCATAACACCAGTACTATCATTTATATTCCAACAATCATTGGACCGAGGAGAAATACCAACAGACTGGAAGAATGCCAACAGTGCCAATTCATAAGAGGGATAGAACAAAACCAGTAAACCATGTAAACTATAGACCAGTATCACTCAAAGCAGTTGTATCCAAAATGCTAGAACACATCGTTGTCATTTAGATCATGGACCATCTAGACAGAGAAACATCTTGAATGATAATCAACATGGATTTCAAGCTAGACAGCCATGCAAGTTCCAGCTGCTGATGACAACTGATGACATCGCCAAACACATAGACCAAGGTAGGCAAGTTGATACGGGAATACTGTAGTTTTCGAAAACCTTCGACAAAGTTCCATACAACGACTGTTGAAGAAACTTTAGTTTTACAGGATACAGGGAACAACACAGAGATGGATATACTATTTCTTGAAAGACCGTCAACAACAAATAGTATAATCGACGATGCAAATCTACCACAACACCAGTCACATTTAGGGTACGGTACCACAGGAAACGGTGCTTAGGCCAACACCTTTCTCATATTTATAACAACATTGCATACTTCACTTCTTCTGTCCAGTAATTCACAGATGACTGTGTCATCCATAGACCCATACTTTGTTAACAAGACCATGAACAGCTGCAGAGGGACCTGAACACACTTGTGGACTGGAGTTACATCTATCAAATGGAATTTAACGTCAAGAAGTGCGCCATCATACAGTTTGGAACTTCAACAAGAGAGTCTTCAATTACATCATTAAAAGGGGAGCCACTCGAGATTAGTAGATCACCATCCATATTAAGGCGTTGAACTCAGTGACAACTTGAAGTTCACATAGATAACACCTGCAATGAAGCCTCCGGTGAAGGGATTTCTGAAGTGGAATCTTCGACATTGTCCACCAAAGGTCAAGAAAAGAGCATATCAGAGCTTAGTTAGACCAAAGCTAGAGTACGCAATATCAATATCGAATCCACAACAAAAAACACAACAGAAACAGATAGAACAAGTACAACAAATGCAGCAAGATTTGTTAACAACGAGCCTTATAACCCTGGAAAAACCTGACAGCGTAATATCTATGATGCAGGAACTCAAATGGAACACCTTAGAACTAGAGACGCATTTGGGCTGACGTAACACTCATGTACAAAGTAGTCAACCAACTCACTGAAGTCCAAACAGCATATCAACAACATAGCAACAGTACGAGGATCTAGGAAAAGTCACTGCTGGAATTAGTTTGTATCATATCACTGTCGAATAAACGTCTACAAACAATCCAACATTCATTCTTTCCAGGCCCATAGAGCGGCTCTCCAATGTTTCCGAATATAGTATTCTGCTATAGTAAATTTTCATTTAGATCCCCCCCCCCCCCAATTGTTTTTTCTGTAATGTCGAGCACTGGCAAATTCCAGGATTTGGAGGACTGTTAAGGGTTTTTTGTTGTTGTTGTTGTTTTTTTTTTTTTTTTTTTTTTTTGCTTTTCAGATTATTTTGGGAGGTTGACCACCCCCCAATTTTTGAAACCGTTGCTACGGACCTGCTTTCCAAGAACAATCTCTACTGGTCAGTACTGGAACATTCTACCGGAATCTGTTAGACTATCACCATCGTTGGAGGAATTCAATGCATCTAGCAAGACCCTCCAACCCTGGTCTACTCATCCTGCATACTAAATAGCAACAATGACCTGTAGAGTGTATATATGTTATGGTTCAATCATTTTCACCCCGGACACTTCCATTCCACTGCACGCATGTAAATAAATGTAGTTTCCTCATCAGTAAATGTTCGCAATGGATTTTGATGAGTACCTACATTAAAGTTGAAGATTACCGACTTTGATTCTTTTCATCAATAAGATCATTTAAGAACGTATAATATGTATAAATAAGGGGGAAAGCTGTTACTGTGACAGTAAACCGGGGTTTCTTTTATATGATGAGTACTGGAATTTCTTAAATAAATCAAAAACTTTCTGTTCTGAAAACTCTAGGATGTGACATCCCGACAATATTAATTTCAAATAAAAATTATAGCGAATTAAATTCGTTCTAACAAATTCGAAAATTCAAAAATATTTTTTGATGATCCTAAATGGGCTTTCGTACAACTTCTTATCTCTTACGACGACTTTCTTAAGTCATAACAACGATACTTGATTGTCATGACGACTTGTACCTCGTTATAACACTTTTTTTAATTCCCGTAATAACGACTTTTTTTCAAATTCCCAAAATAACGACTTTTCATCTCGTAAAATTACGACTTTCTTAAGTCGTAACAACAACTTTTTCAGTCTTAATAACAACTTTATTAATTCGAAGTAATATTTTCTTCAGTCTTGATAGGAATACAACGATTTTTTTTTTTATCTTATTACGTATTTTCCCTAATTACGATTTTCTGGAGTCACTTTTTAAAATTTCTTTTGTTGTAATAAAAACTTTCTTAATTAAGTCTTATTATCCATAGGTTATCGACTCTATTAAGCCGTAATAACGACTTTCTCAAACCGTTATTATGTTTTTTACGAACTTTTTTCCATTTTCTTAACCAATAGGCTTTCTTAGTTACTAGTATTTGAATTGCTTCTCACAATGACTTAGTTTTTATTTTTTGCAAATTCCTAATATTGACGCTGAATTCCCAATTCTGAGGGCCCAGTCCCCAGTCCCAAATTACTGAAAAAACACAACCTCATACATATATTGTATATTTGTCATCATATATATGTAAACATATGGGTAATAGTATTTCAAATACATCTCTCTCTCTCTCTCTCTCTCTGTGACACTTACTTTGGAACGTGGATTTCTTCATATGGAACAAGAACAACCTTTTTCCCAACTAAGATAACGTTGCTGTTTAAAATCATTCTGTAACGATGTCGATCCACTTGAGATATACATAAAAACCCTCGTCAGGCCTCCAAGTGTAAAACATGTTAACTCAATAACTGTCTGATTTCGGAAAACATGACTGTAATGATAAATCATATGACATGTTATATACGTATTGATGTAAAACATAACATATCACCTAACATTGTCTTGAAAGTACATAGATGTGTATATCTAAACTTTACCTATCATTCTACGTCAGTATTTACAAACTGGCAATATGCGTAAAGTACCCGAGGAAATTCGAGTATAAGAGCAGGGAATGGGTAAAAGTAGGATCTATTTGCATTTTGAAGAACGTGTAATTTCAACAAGAAATAGCCTTTCAAAAAGCTTGCCTGGTTACAGCAATCAATATTGTACGTAGAAAATGACGAAAAATTTCGCTCCAGTGCATGGTTTGCGTCATATTGAATGAATAGGGTAAGGAAAACAAGAAAACACATATTTTTTTTTAATGAAGTTGATAATTTTTTTTTAATTATGGAACATATAAATGGTATCAAATTCTGTACCTTCGTTATGCGAAACGTCTTTTGGTTATAACCGTTCCAAGAGGAACTTGGTTTCGTTACTGTACATTTTAAAGACTTCCTATGAGTAAATTTTGACAAATCTTCGCAACTCTTTTGAAATATATCATGTCTCCTAATCATCAGCAGGCATGTTCACGAAATGTTCCTACGATATGTCCTAAGATTATTCCTAAGATATGACTTAAGAAAGTTAGGAACATCCTAAGATCAACTTTGGACATATCATAAGATGAAGCTGGACGGTATAACTTAGGAACATCCGAAATTAAGACATCCTAACATACAGTGAAAACTGTTGTTTCCACATTTATCTATACATGTAAAATTATAGCAAAAAATCTTTTACATAACATGAAAAAAATCCCATTTACATGTACATGTGACTTTAGTTTTATTTAATTTTTGCATCTTTTAAATGATAGAATATTTAATACCGCATGTAAATCGCATCGAAACAAGCGAATTTTTTCTACCAAAGTGAAAGTTTAATCTAAAAAAAAAATCTTAAATTCAGTGATCGACCTTGATGATGTTCACGATATGATGTATTAGAACAGTCTGTATCATTTTTTGAAAAATAAGCTGATAAAAAAAATGAAATGAATTTTACAGGACTCGACACTATATATTCAAACAGAGAAATCACTCTTTTAAATTAAGGCAATGTTTTACCCCAGAGTTTTGAAAACTCTCCATGGTTTAAAAATTTAATACGAAAGCCTATTAGGATCAAACTACGGTAAAAAAAAAAAAAATTAAAAGGCGTTATAACGCGGAAAAAGGCGTAATAACGCAAATAAAGGCGTAATTACGCCTTTCCAAAAGGCGTTATTAGGCCTTTCCAAAAGGCGTTATAACGCCTTTCTAAAAGGCGTTATAACGCCTTTCCAAAAGGCGTTATTACGCCTTTCCAAAAGGCGTTATTACGCCTTTCCAAAAGGTGTTATAACGCCTTTCTAAAAGGCGTTATTACGCCTTTCCAAAAGGCGTAATAACGCCTTTCTAAAAGGCGTAATAATGCCTTTCCAAAAGGCGTTATTACGCCTTTCCAAAAGGTGTTATTACGCCTTTCCAAAAGGTTTTATTATGCCTTTCCAAAAGGCGTTATTACGCCTTTCCAAAAGGTGTTATTACGACTTTCGAAAAGGTTTTATTATGCCTTTCCAAAAGGCGTTATTACGCCTTTCCAAAAGGTGTTATTACGCCTTTCCAAAAGGTTTTATTATGCCTTTCCAAAAGGTGTTATTACGCCTTTCCAAAAGGTTTTATTATGCCTTTCCAAAAGGCGTTATTACGCCTTTCCAAAAGGTGTTATTACGACTTTCGAAAAGGTTTTATTATGTCTTTCCAAAAGGCGTTATTACGCCTTTCCAAAAGGTGTTATTACGCCTTTCCAAAAGGTTTTATTATGTCTTTCCAAAAGGCGTTATTACGCCTTTCCAAAAGGTGTTATTACGCCTTTCCAAAAGGTTTTATTATGCCTTTCCAAAAGGTGTTATTACGCCTTTCCAAAAGGTTTTATTATGCCTTTCCAAAAGGTGTTATTACGCCTTTTTTTTTTTCAATACATGACTTACTTAGCCCACCCTGGGGGCTGATTATAATTAGATTTCTAGGGAAAAAAATTTTTAAATGTGTAAAATATTTTCATTGTTAAACCAGCTTAGTCCTTCTCTGATGCCAGACGCTTCTACCAAGGTGTATGGATTTCAGAAATTTTGTTGAAGGCCAATTGCTCATTATACCTATGTAAATACTTTGCCTGTTTTTTACCAAGAGGAGAGAAAAATATTTCAAATTTGACATGAATTCTTAATACGTGGCTAGCAAAGCCCAAAGCTGGTTCTGCCTATATCCTGGATTTTCAAAAGTAGAGTGTTGACTTCTCTTAATATGCATGCAAAATGCAAACAACTGTCTGCGAGATGTGCAGGAATATAGAAAATACTATAATTTATAATATAATTTATAATATTAAAACTATAATCTAAATATTGCATTAATAAAGATGGCTTTGGTTTAATCTTTCATATATTTACTATTTTAAAATAACGCCTTTCCATTTTTGGATACAACTCCTTTTCAACAAACAGGCCGGTAGTACGAATGTGAGTGGGAGGGGGGGGGGGGTCCCACACCCCACTTTTTGGGAGAATAGTCTTGCTATAGTTTAAATATAAAAAATCATTAATTGATTGCTTGGTCCCTTGACATTTTGTTGCAGTATGGTTAAACTCGGGCAAGTCATTGCATTTAAAAAAAGTTTTACCGAAAAATTAGAAAAAGTTTCCCCTCAAGTTTAGGCAGTTTATTTTTTTTCGGGGGGTTGGGGGGGTTGGGGGGTTCTTTTTTTTGTTTGCTTGTCAATTTTATGGGACACCCCCCCCACTTTAAAAGCACAGGCCTGTCAAAGACATAATAATGTCCCTTCAAAAGGCATAATAACGCCTTTTAAAAAGGCGTAATAACGCCTTTTGGAAAGGCGTAATAACGCCTTTTGGAAAGGCGTAATAGCGCCTTTTGGAAAGGCGTTATAACGGCGTAATATCGCCTTTTGGAAAGGCGTTATAACGCCTTTTGGAAAGGCGTAATAACGCCTTTTTCGCGTTATAACGCCTTTTGGAAAGGCGTTATAACGCCTTTTAGAAAGGCCTAATAACGCCTTTTGGAAAGGCGTAATTACGCCTTTATTTGCGTTATTTCGCCTTTTTCCGCGTTATAACGCCTTTTCAAAAGGCGTTATAACGCCTTTTTTCGCGTTATGTATGGCGTTATAACGCCTTTTAAATTTTTTTTTACCGTAGTTTGATCCTAATAGGCTTTCGTAAATAGAAGATTTAATAATAGGCCGGACCACCCCAACCTTCACTTTCTGTTGAAGATGGACGGAACCCCCCCCTCCCCCCCCCCGCCACACATTTAATTAGAGGTTTTTGTGAGTAGACTTTTCTATTTTTTGTGTCAAAGTTTTTCCGGAATTTTTTTTTTTTTTTTGGCTAGTCAATTATACATTTTTCTGTCCCCTTACCCTTACAAACATATTTTTTCTCCCCTTCCCCAATTTGAAAAAGAGTGCTACGTACCTGCTGCATTATAAATAAGAAAAGAAACTCGAAATTTTCAAGTACGAAATTCAGGTCCTCCTTGATAGGTAGAAAAAATAAATATCACCTGTAAATTATCGACGATGGTAACTAATGTTGCAAAGAAGAGGCCTTTTGGTAACATTTGTGAAAAAATTTATTCGTGTAAATCATCAGCTCATACACGGACTGCTGAGGAACAAGAAATTGTCGTTTATACTTGCAATATTCAAAAATATAAGCATCACAACAAACTTGGGATGATCTTAGGACAAGATTTATGTTGTCATAAAGTTAGGAAGGAAATGGCGAGGTCCTAAATTTAGGAAAGCTTCGAGAAACTGACTTAAGACTAAGTTATTTTCTAAGACGTTCTCAGGACACATCGTAGTCCTAAGATAGTTTCGTGAACATGCCTGCTGGAGAATGGAAATTAATCTAAATTCAGGTGAATATGATTTCTTTCTGTATCTCAAAGTACCTATCTATGAAGACAACAGGACTACAAATGAAATATACATGCATTTGCATAACATTTGAAAGAAGTTTATTAATAATGACGTAAAACTAAAAAATAAAGTAAGCAAATTAAATGAAATGGATAATATTTGGAAGCTTTTGCAGTAAAAAGGTTACCTAAATGTGTTTTAAATGCATGTACAAGAAATGCAGAAATGCTACTGAAAAGGTATATAGCTGAAAATGTGAATGGTAAATAATACTTGTACTTAACAAACTCTATCAATTCCCACAGGTACTTGGGGACGGGACCCCCCCCCCCCCGTGTTCCGTACCCCCAAGGGTTCTTTTGACTTTTTTTAATAAGATATTTTTATGACACATTCACAAAGTACCGGTATTATGTACAACTGAAAAATCCAAAATAAAACCTAAAACTAGCCTTTTATAAAAATTCACACTCTCTGATACTAAAAGTTCTCTCTTAGTATCAGAGTGTGAATTTATCCCCCGTCCCGTCCCCAAGCACCTGTGACATATGAACAACTTGATTCTACACTACGCCAGAAAGCTTTCACATATCTGATCGCGTGGTAACAGGTTCTTGAAAAGCAGAGTTTAAAATGGTCCACCAATATTACACTATTTATTATTATCTCCATTTACCCAAGGATACTTTATGACAAGTTTTGTTGAATTTGGCATAGTGGCTCTGGAGAAGAAGTCAAAATGGCTAAATTTTATGGAAATGCTCGTGTTATACTTGACATTCTTCATAAATTTCTAAATCTGCAATGACGTAATTTTACTGTAATTCACTGAGGTACAGTAACTCAGAAAAAAGTTTTTATTAGCTTTATTTCTATTTTAATTTTCAATTGTAGATTATACATCAACAACAGTCATATATCAGTAAAAATAAAGTATCACCATATTTCATATTTAAGACTTCTCAGTTTACATATTGTTTATTATATCACATTTCAATTAGTGTTGTAGCAAATCACCCCCTGTTTTGCCTTGCTTGTTCAATTTTCCTTCGAACCTGATTGCAGTTTAATGTGAGTTCAGCATGTGACATTTTTAATCTTTCAAGTCTTTCTCTTAGATCATCACTTTCATCCTTTCTCTCCTCGAAATCTCGAAGTAAAGGCTCATTACCTAGCAACCCACAGCTCTGTCGCAGGCGCTGGTTGTCAATTCGTAAAGCATCTCTTGCTTGTTTTGTTCTTGATAAAATGTCTCTCTTCTGCAAAAACAACATTATAGAAAGTTAAAAGATGTCTTCAGAGCACTTCAAAAAAGCATTGTAGGAACTTCATGTATCGGATTTATATTTTAAAAAAATTGGATCGACATCTAGCCACTTAAAACCTTTAAGACACAACTTGTATAAAGTTTGATAATATTAAGTGCACACAAATATTTCTTTTAGCGTAAATTTCATAATCCTTCTGTTCAATCATTTAAATTTTGGTTTAATGCTAATGTTTTTCCAGAAGAAATTTACATAAATCGTCTTTTAACTTGCCAATTTTATAAAGGAATAATGGTCATTTATCCCAGTCAGAGTTATCTCTCTTCTGAGAGGGTCAATGCACCTTAATTGTTTTTCCTTATAGATAATTTTCGATAGACCTAAATTTAGCAAGAGTTATTTCCCGTTAGCCGCCATATTGGAGGTCCAACTAGCGAATTTTCCTCTTTGAGCAACCAATTTAAAACATGTATAACAGAAATATAAGGGCAAAAATCTTTAAAACCAAAAATTACGAATTAAAGGAAGCTTGTGTTAACATAAATTTGTAAGAAAAATTGTGTTATCTTCACCCAATTGTCCAGTATGACGAGTTTAATTTGGTGGAATAATGAAGGAAATCGGGCTTGTATACCTCCAATATGGCCACCAATGGGAAAAAACTCTTGCTAAAATCGTGTCTATCGAAAACTATCTATAACTACTGCCTTGAATAGAATTTTGCCTCAGTTTATATATGTAACCAATGAAATCAAAATTTAGAGAGTGATAATTACCATAGCTGCCTCAGCTTCCACTTCTCGGAGACGACCTTTCTGTACTTGATTTTCAGCTTGCACAAATTGTAGTTTTTCTTTCAAATGGGTTAGAACTTGAACAGTACTGGTAATTTTCTTTCTTAATTTTAGAATTTCCTATAGATAGAAATGTGAAAAATCAGATATTTTGATTTGCTTCAGTTTGCTAATAACAAATGAATTGAAATAGTTTTTAGTGTAATAAATCTTTATTAAAGACTAAGTGTTTACTACAATGAATACTATTGCAAATGGATTCATGACTGTATGCAAAAACGAATCTCTTACTTCATTTCTTTCTTCAATTTTCTCATTGTATGTTTGGTTTTCAATTTTCAGTTGTTCAAAATCAATTAAATGTAGACCTTCTGCAAGTTCTTCCTGCAAAATAATCACAGATTCAAAGTACATGTAGTTATTTAAGAACACATTATATCAAAATTACATTATAAAATTTGTTCAGTAATATAAAAATGTACAAGTATCACCATTAACTTATAATGAAGTACAAACTGTTACTTACCTTTGACTTTAATTGATGTTCTTTCTTTTTTAATTTGTTTTTCAGTTTGATATTTTCTAAGCGAACTGCTACTACATCTTGTTCTTTTTTATTTTCTACAGACAAGGCCTGTTCTATGTCCTGAAGATGAATTAAAATAATAAATTGGAATTGCATTTTTCATATCAAATTCAGAAGAAAAAAAAAACACTTTCAGATTTGGCAACAGTATGGAGGTTTTAATCATTTCTTAATATCGAACATGTAAATGATACCTTTATGAAAAATTCCCATAAATATTCCATAAAGTGCCAGATTTGGAAAACAGTTTTAACTTTAAATATGGAGACCTTTATCAGGAATGCACTCAAAATGGTAGCGGCTACATATACATAGGACTGTGTAAAACTATGATCTTGAACAGTAAGCTAGCCTAGCTGCAACAAGCATTAATTCATACAGTGTGTTCAACAGACCTAGATAACAAGCTTAGCTGCTACAATCATGAATGATCAATTTTCAGCTTTATACCTTTGGAGGAACAGGCTTCCCTGATCTGTTAGAGATGGCATTCAATGCCACTTGTTTCTTAAATTCCATGAATTTCTTCCTCTCCTCATCCACTTTCTCTTTCTTCTCCTCACATTTTATTCTCAAGTCCTCCATCTGATTTTTGTAGTTTTCCCTCTCAGCTGCATCCAGTTTTCTCAACTCATCAACTTGAGCTGAAAGAGTGTATCCAAAGTCAACCAACAATATCCTGTAGATTTTACAGCACAATTGTACAGAGAACTGAGATCAAAAAAATCCTTTTTTATATGCTGTTAGAAACAGTAGTATTGTGCAACCCAGTTCTTAATCTGGTAATTTAGTGTACTGTAAATCACTTATTATTTGCGGGAACTTTATTTTTGTATAATTACGGAAGACCCTGAGCTTCCCAATTTTTTTTTTTTTGGCATATAATTCTACTCTTAAAGATTATATACAGCAATAACCAAAATTCATTACAATTTCTTTTGCATAAAAATACCAAACACAATCTCACAAAAATAAGGTATTACGAAAAATTAGTGATCTACATTATATGTGATTACATATGTCAATTTAGTGTAATGTCAGACTATACTTACCCATATATTTGACATATTTTGAGTCCTGATCATTCGCTGTTTTATCATAGTCTTGCCTGGCATCATCTGCTTTCTTCTTCCTGAAATGCTCTGCCAATTTGTGCTGAAGCAAGTAGTTAGACTGTTGTAATTCCCTCCTCTCCTCAAGCAATGTCTGAATTAAAAATTAAAGTGTTGAAAGATCTCATTAATATTTGTTTTCTATGTAAGTTACTCACTGATGTGAGTTAACCTTACATATGATTCTCTTTTGAGTTGTTTGAAAGATATTTTTCAATAAAATATGTTACTTAATTTACTCATTATCGTTTTCCTTAACCTTGTTAAAATCAATTTCATGTGCAAGTCAGATTAAAAAGGGGTCATAACTGCAGTTTTACCTGATACTGTTCGAGGAGAGCCTCTCTATCAAACTCAGGTTCAGGCTCCTCCTCCTCCTCTTCTTCTTCCTCCTCCTCCTCTTCCTCAGCAAAGGGAGCTAAGTGTTGATCCTCTGTGACTGAGGCTGAAGATGTATATTAAATATCAGCATAGGAAAGCATACATCACTTGAATTGGATATGTGAAATATATGATCTTGTAAACAAAATTTACAAGTTTTTTTTTCTCTTAAGGCCATTTATTATAATACAAAGTCTAGTAATTGCTGGTAAAAATGTGTTGGAAGAAGAAAGAGAGCACACAAACCTGGCCTTGACCCCTCTGGAGTACCAGGTTCAAGGGCAGCTGTGTCAGGTTGAACCCCTTCATCTCCCTGTACAGGACTTCCCTCTCTGGATAATTTCTCTCCAGCAATTTGTGGACTCTCTGGTCTTTCTCCCTCAGCAAAGGTATCACTCTTTAAAATCAGAGATATAAATAAGTATTTCAAGGACAAAATGAAACTTATTGATATAAAAATTTACCAGTGGATGTATTGTAAAGTATCCAATGCAAACTAATCAAATTGAAGTAATATAAAATGCACTTAAAATCTGTTGTCTAAAATGTGTTCAAAGTGCATTTATTAGCATTTCACAGTTAATGGTAACAGAAATTTCGATCCTACCTGTGGTACAGGTGATTTTGATTCCTCTTCACCCTCAGCTTTCTCTGTTGTTTCCCCTTCCTCTGCAGGCTTTTCTTCTTCTGTCTTTTCTCCTTCTTCACCTATGTTCATTAAAAAGAGGTAAACCAATACATGTAGTTCCCCAAATAACATAAAAACCAATGCATGTAGTTCCCCAAATAAAATTCTAATTAAGAAACAAATGCTTCACATGCATCGAGTATTGCAAAATCAAGTTCTTTTTTTTTTTTTAATACCTTCTTTAGGACCTTCCTCCTCTCCCTCTCCTCCTTCGGCAGGTTTCTCCCCCTCCTCTGTGGTCTCCCCCTCTGGTTTTTCTTCCCCCTCTGCTTTTTGACCTTCCTCCCCCTGTTCTGTCTGTTCCCCCTCTGCTGGTTGTTCACCCTCTACAGCAGTTTCTGTTTGTTCACCACCCTCTGTTGTAAAAAAGAAAGCACAAATTTTAAAATGCAAGCAATTTTCAAGACACCAGTAATTTCACACATATATTGCAACAGTGCTTCATCATAAAAGTAGCAATACATTTATACCAAAGGAATAGTAAATAAAATTGATATCCTTAAAACCTGGGAAAATATTCAATTAATTTTTCAATATAATATGACTGAGTTTATTGCAGTGATATATTTATTTTACTTTTATTCCTCAAAAATAATTAACCAACCTGCTGGAGGTTCTTCAGCCTTCTCTTCAGCATTTGTGTTGGAATCAGCAGGTGCTTCTTCTGCAGGAGGACCATCTTCCTTTGCTGGTTCCTCTTCTTTTGCTGGTTCCTCTTCCTTTGTTTCTTCTTCCTTTGCTGGTTCCTCCTCCTTCGGAGCCTCCTCTGTTGTGGTCTCTGTCTGAGGTTCCTGTTCCGCTGCTGGGGTTTCCTCACTTGTAGCAGGTGCTTCTGTACTTTCTGCCTCCTTTGGGACAGAATCAGTGGGCTGGGATTCCTTTAAAAAAATGAAATCATTTAAAATTATAAATATGACACTCTTTTAATAGTTCAGCTTCAGAAAATATGATGGCCAAAGGCCCTATAGTTGTGCGTGCCCAGTAGTCATGCACCACTTGTTTGTTTTTGTACATGGGTCTTGTGCTACAATGCTACATCAAAACGGCTGATTTTTTCAATGATTAGAGAAGGAAGCACCTGTACTATTACAAGAAGTGTACACAGGAAATGTATGAATTACGCGGGGGTCCTATGGTATCGCGGTAGTTAACATATTCATCAATAAAAGCCGCCATTTTGTTAATACTCTTTTTACAGTTTCTAAATATATAGCTTAATTACTCATAGTGGCACCTGTGGACTTGATGAGCACATGGCTAATAAGCATAATCATGCATAAAGGTCACTGGGTATTGGAACGACTTTACCGGTCCCCAGAAAAAATGCGCTAAAATATAGTGTCGCCAGATGCTAGACTAACCCTAATCAGTCAAATAATGTGCGATGACTAACCCTAATCTCTCGGATGGATGTGATACTAACCCTAATCAGTCGAATACTTGTGCAAGGACTAACCCTAATCTCTCAGGTGGGTGCAAAACTAACCCTAACCAGTCGAAAATGTGCAAGACTAACCCTTATCAGTTGAGTGATGTAAATCATACGTCATAGTGCAATGTGTGCGTGGATCTTGCGGATCTGGGGACCAGTAAAGTAAATTCTACCCCTGGGTATTTCATTTGTTTACTTGGGCCAGAAATTATACAAGATGACTTGATAAAGACTGAATAGTCCTTATCCAGAAAGATGTAATTATTATGTAGGAATACATGTATAGAAATAGTGATGAAAGAGTTGTGATTTATATAAGAAAAACCAGTTGTAAACATGATTAAGTCAAATAAAATCCAAAAATGGTTAAATTGGTTCTTTAAAAAATAGAATTTCAATCACCAGGATTTTGTGTTAATTTTGTATTTTACTTATACAAAATTTTATTCACAAATAAAAGTGAATGGGATTGGGCAGCAGGCAAAGCCTATTTTAGCCCTCTTCCTACTGGTCCAAAACAAATATTGCTGATGTAAACCTCACTTGCTATGTGCTTCAACAGCAAATATTTAGTGAAGCACTTTGAAGTATTTTAAATAAACAGAAAATTAGACAATAACACACCAAGTTAAAATATCAGATAAAATAACCACATATTCCATTTAAATGCTCCCTTTTAGCACAGATACTCTTTTAAACGTGCAACTACTTGGCTAACATTAGTTCAAAAAAGTTGTGTTTGTATGCATTTGCCTTGAAATATAACATTAGAATGGCAATATTTAATTATTACAAGACTAAAATTTAAGTTGTTTTCATTTACATATTTTTTCACTGTAAACAATTGATCAAAAAATAATCAACTAAACAAAAACAATGATGAGGAAATTCGAAATTAAAACTGTTATCTTTGAAGTTGATTATTAATTAAGTTTGAGAACACATACCATTTTTTGGCATGTATATCATCGTCAACGCATAAAGGTTATGATTTTATCACCAAAAAACAATTGTTTAACGAGAGTGTTCAGAAATTAGAGTAAAAATATAGCTATACCTCTTGATCAGCCATTCCTTGGCAATGTTGTCAGGGAAAACTATACAGGTGGCGCTGTAGTTAACGCGCGATCTTTGGAGGGAATTTCAACGTCTCAGTACGCGCTAAAATTAATTTTTGAGAAATCATCAGAGGAAACCATTAATGATGATGTCTACAGGTCATGTTGTGTCTTCTCCAACCACAAATGGATCAAACAAAGGACAAATTCAAGTGAGTGTGATTCAGAATAACTTGGAATGTTTTATTAAATTATACCAGACTGATTTATACTCCATCTTTTGTTTACATTACAGGAAATTCATTTATTTGGCAAAGCGCGTATATTTCAATGGAAGATAAAATTTGCAACATTAATATATTATTTTTCTTCAATTATCAATGGCAAAAATACTTTATGCAGTTATATTAGATACATAAATAAATCTCATTTATCATGTTTATATTTATAACTATAGCCTATATAAAATTATCAAACGAAGAATACTTAGAAAAATGTAATTCCAATATACTTAGCATTTTAAACAGTTAATAGATATAGAATTTCATAAAGATGTAAATGTTTCACCATTTACTGCTAATGGTTTGAATCTAGTAACTCAACCACAGGCAGATAGCATCGGGGGGGGGGGGGGGGGCTCGGTCAGTTATCAATAAATGCACAAAGATCTTGCATCTTAACTAATCATAATTTGTAATGTGTTGATATACATCTACTTCAATATCTAAAAAATATTATCTCAAATAATTATTTTTTCTGTGCTTCTTCCAGTTATTTTGAATTTTGATTTATTTTCAGCTCATATTTGGACCTATGTTCTCTGGGAAAACGTAAGTAATTATAGCAGGGATGTATATACTTAGTGTATACATCCCTGATTAGTTTTTGTTTTAATTTCAGATGTACTATTTTATTTCTTGGATATTTTTACCTATTGAACCTTCAGAGTTCAGAGGGAACTGCATCTAATTGAACTTCATTTTATATTTTTATATTTATGCATTAGCCATTATGCAATGTCTAAATTTTGTTTCATCTTAACAGTACAGAGCTTATGCGTAGAATGAAGCGTTATCAGATAGCCAGCTACAAATGCCTCGTAATCAAGTACTCCAAGGATGACAGATATGAAAAAGAGGGGATTTCTACCCATGACAGGTAATGTTTTTTTGTAATCAGGTGTTAATGTTTTGGAGAGAGTGGGAGGGAGAGAGAGAAAGAAAAAAATTAACTGTAAATTACATGTATTTAGCAAAGAGTATAATATTTTACAGATTTCACTTGAAAAAAACTGAGTTGTTGTGTATCAATATTGCAAGGAATTCTCATATATCTCATAAAAAAATGGCCTTAGTATTTATTTAGGGGTGTAACAATATAGCTAAAGCTTATCATGGTATATCATGATACACTGAGACTGTATCATGATACATATCACTATTAATGATATATTTCACCTTTCATAATTTTTTTATAATTTGTGTGTCTCTGTTCTGAAATGGGAAATTCTCTATCACAATATAATAAATGTGAAAGAATAAACATAGATTATTTTTTCAGTTCCCAAATACATTATGTAACATTAAATAAGCTTTGAACACAATAAAAACAGCTTAAACAAATATGAACAAAAATTACTTTTATTAGGGTAAACTAAAAAGAAATGTCGAAAATTCCTTGCAATGTTATACATGTATATCGTAATACACAAGTATACAGTTTTTATACATGTACTGCAATGCAGTACAATTCTTTTGAAAATTGCTGTATACCAGTATATATTGTTAAACTCCTATATTTATAAGCATGTTTTAAAATTACTTTTATTGAAAAATTTATAAATGTCTCAATATGCATTTGTAGACAAACACTACCTGCAATTCCAACAGATGTTCTGGAACAAATAAAGGCAGAGGCGGAAAACTATGAAGTCATTGGGATTGATGAAGGGCAGTTTGTAAGTAAAACATTAGCATCAGTTTCTCGTTCATCATTTGAGCTCACCTAATGTGAAGATACATTTGAGCTTCTGTTGATAGTCTGTAACCATTCTGCTTTCTACTTTATCTCAGTAACATTGAACCGATTCATTTTTTCCCCTTTTAAATAATGAAGGGAAACACTTAATAAGTAAAATTGTACATTTTTAGTTCTCATCTTAAAAACTGGAACAAAATAATTCATAGTAGAATTTTACAAAGAATTTTAGTATGTTATTTCAAGAGTTTTTTCCCTCTCCCATCGGCCAAACAAGAAAACTGGAAAATGCTAAAGTTTCTTCTTCTTCTTTTTTTTTAATTATAACATCATAGCCTCTTCAGATAGAGTACACTAGTATTTTGTTCAATTTATAGCCTTTGAGGGATTTGTTTCTCTGTTGCCTTGCAGGCACACATATTACTCTTAAATTTATAATATTTTTCTTTACATTATTTATTTTCAGTTTCCAGATGTTGTGGAGTTTTGTGATGAAATGGCAGAGCGTGGTAAAACAGTTATTGTAGCAGCATTAGATGGAACATTTCAGAAAAAGGTGAACAATCAGTCATAATTTGTTAATTTGTCTAGCTAACTAAAATATGTCTTACTAGAAGTAGTAGTGCAATATGATTATCTATTTAACTTGTACTATAGGTAATTAAACATAATCACATGTAAAACTCTATATTTTGTGAAAATAAGGACAAAATACTGATTCTTATTTTAATTCTTTAGGGATTTGGAAACATTTTGAACCTAGTACCTCTGGCAGAAAGTGTGATCAAACTAACAGCTGTATGTATGAGATGTAACAGGGAGGGATCGTTCACCAAACGTACAGGATCGCAAACTGCTGTAAGTTATACACCTGATTCTTCTTAGTCTTAAAGAAGAAGGGCCACATAGGGCCTTTTTTGGCCCTGTAAATTTCTGAAAAATTAAAACTGCATAGTTTTAGTTGACAAGGCAATCAATATCACTTGAACACTTGGTGACTGAATTCCTACTAAAAATGTCGTAATTTTCTTGCTAGTAAATGCATTATGATGTCATCAATTGCGTCATTATTCACTTATCCCGTATTATTCTTCAAAAGTGGTCAAAATATGATGCTATTTTTCAATATCTTGTATACAGCACAATCTCCGATCCAAAATGTGCAAATAATTTCTGAAAGAACTGCTCATTAAGGTTATAAAACATACTTTAATTTTTGGATTGAGGGGTGTGCTCATATTTTAATTCCTTGTTGAAGGTTCTCAAATTCACCTGTTTTCTGCAAAATTCAAGAACATTGCTATTTCACACAACCTGTTTTCCAGTATCTGGACTCTTTAGAAGAAACTTTTATATACCAACTGAAAGCGCCAAGTCTCTACTTTATATTGATATTGAGAAAGGGACATAGTGTTAGTGGATAAATTGGTTTATCTACAGGGCCAAATTTTCATAAAGTGAACCTTGCTCTTTGACAATTTCAAAGGTTTTCAGAAAAAAAAAATTTATTGTTTTAATACTTTAAGAGAATTACACAACAGTCATGTCAAAAATAAATTTTGAAACATTTATGTGGATTTCTTCACTAATATTCTGCAGATGTTTTCTTTTTCCATTAAAAGTTGTCTCCCTTGAGGCCTTGTGGAGGAAAATACACACAAAATTAATTATTACTTCTTTTGATACTAATTTTTTTTTTCTCTAGTTGGTGAATATTGACAAAATTCCTCAATTCATTTTTTTCTCCCCCCCCCCCCCTTCCAAAAAAAAAAAAACAAAACAAACTAGTTTCCGTTTCATAAATTTCTGCATTAAATATCTTGCCTCTCTTCTTAAAAGCATCACTTGCATGTAAGGTTCTGCCTCTCTCAGAGATTTACCTCCAGATTTTCTTTTCCTAATCAAACTTTTTTTCTGGTCATTAAATTGTTGATTTCATGGTGAATATATGTACATGTAATATTACAGAGAATATGTATCCACAGTCCTAATGAGAATTTGCTTCATAGCTTGATAATTTACAGGTGGAGGTTATAGGTGGAGCAGAGATGTATCTGGCTGTGTGTCGTATGTGTTTTAAATCTCCTGTCAAACCCTCGCCAAACAAAAACAGAACCCCCACCATCCTACCAGCAGGGAAGGAAGAAAAAACCATCACCAACAGGAAACTCTTTGGCTCTCCCACTAAAAATAAGTGTTGATGTAGTTTTTTCCATTAACTTCAACATCATCGTATAATAGTTTTGATGCAATGAGGGGAAAATGAATATTTTATCGTCCTTGATGTGTCTAAATGTATTGAGATACATGCATATATAAGAAATCCAAGAAGTCTTAAATGTTAAATGTACAGGGGTACATTACAGTGAAAAATTTTGATACTAAGTAAGATGTGATGTTATATGAATATCTACCATTAAAATGAGTAACTCAGGAGCCATATTTTTCATATGAGGAATGAAAACTGGTATGTGGTATAAACTGCACTTGTAAATGATAGTATAAAAGAATGTTACTTTACTGCTTATATTCATGATGATCATACATTGCAATGAAATGATATTAAGAATTTGAAGTATAAATGTATTTTATGAATTTGGACTTTATTTGTATATAATTTTTTATAAATCTGTAGCATAGTGCTGATAATGTATGTTTTAGTGAAAGTACTCTTAGTGTATATTTTAGTGTGCTTTGTTTCATGAATTTACAATGATCTCAATTTATCTGGAGATTTTTACTAGAAGAAAAACTCATGTCATGCCAAATACACATATATTTAAACATGTAATATGAAATAAATTAGGAGAAAAAAATCTCTTGTTATATTTATTTTTGTGTTTAACAGGAAAGGAGAAATGTATGGCTGGACTGGGAATTGAACCTGGGATCCCTGCATCTCTAGTCAGGTGTTTTACCAACTGAGCTACCCAGGCCAATATCCAGGGCCCAAACCATTACAGTACATTCCTCCCTCCTTTAATTGTCTTTGCCCTCAAAGACACAAGCCAAGTTTTTATTTGCCCCTAGCAGGACTTTCACCTGCAAGTCTAAAGGTAGTCAATGGCACCAAATTATGTAACGGGAAAGGAGAAAATGTATGACTGGACTGGGAATTGAACCCTTGACCTCTGAATCAATAGTCAGGTGCTCTACCTACTGAGCTACCCAGGTCAATATCCATGGCTATACCCATTACATGGGCAGTTTGATTTACTTGCATGCACTTCAGTGCCATGTTTGGCAATGAACTGAATTTGGATGCATAGAAGATTCTTACAGTGAGAAAAATGCCCTATGTAAGAGTTATATGAAAAGAGAACTTTTAAAGTTTTTGTTTTTCATGGTGCTCTGATCAAATGCAATTTCTGGGATACTTAAATGCTTCTTAATGATTAACTTTGACAAAGTTTATAAGCACAGATGGCTTCAAATGAAAATTCTTTAACTTATTGGGTATCTTAATTGATTATGATATTGAAGATAACATTCTAGACCTAACTGCTGGTACATGTATTTGTCAAGATGTAAATTCTACTCCTAAGGGCCTGTGCTAAGCATTTGGCAATTACATATGGGATCCAGTATTTAGATCACCTGAGCTGAAGGCTCAAGTGAGCTTTTCTGATCACATTAGTCCATCTGTAAACTTTTCACATTTTCAACTTCTCCAGAACTACTGAGCCAATTTCAACCAAACTTGCCACAAAGCATCCTTGGGTGAAGGGGAATGAAGTTTGTTCAAATGAAGGGCCACACCCTCTTTTAAGGGGAGATAATTAAGAATTAGTGAAAAAGGTGGTATCTTTAAAAAATCTTCTCAAGAACCACTGGGCCAAAAATGTTGAAACATGTATGAAACCTTCTTTACATAGTGTAGATTCAAGATTGCTCAAATCATGACCCTCAGGGGTAGGGCGGGGCCACAATGGGGTTTCAAATTTTTTTCATAGGAATATATTGGGAAAATATTTCTCAAGAACAGCAAAGCTATCATTAGTCATATTGATATGGAAACATCCTCAGATAGTGTTCAAATCATGACCCCGAGGATAGGGTGGGGCCACAATGGGGGATAAAAGTTTTACATAGAAATATGTAGGAAAAACTCAAGAACAGCAAAGCCATGATTAGTCATATTTAAATTTGAAAGCATCCTCAGGTAGTGTAGATTCAAGTTTGTTCAAATCATGAGCCCGGGGTTAGGTTGAGGTCAAAATGGGGGATTAGAGTTTTACATAGGAATATATAGGAAACATCTCAAGAACAGCAAAGCCATGTTTAGATTCAAGTCTTGACCCTGGAGGGTAGGACGGGGCCACAATGAGGGATCAATTCTTACATAGGAATATTAAGGAAAAAAATTTCTCAAGAACAGCAAAACCATGTTTATTTATATTGATATGGAAGCATCCTTACCTTGTGTAGAATCAAGTTTGTTCAAATCATGACCCCCCGGGGATAGGGTCGAGCAAAAAATTGGGTATCAAAGTTTTACATGGGATTTACATAGGATAAATCATTAAAAATCTTCCCAAGAATAGCAAATCCATGATCAGTCATATTAATTTAGAAGCACCCTCAGGTAGTGTAGATTAAAGTTTGTTCAAATCATGTTCTTTGTGTGTGTGTGTGGGAGGGGGGGGGGGGCTGCACAATAGAAGATCAAACATATACAGTAGAAAAAAATATAAAGCCATGATTAGCCAAAGAAATATGGAAGCATCTTCTGTTAGTGTATATTCAAGTGGGAACATCATGCCCTGCTTTTCCCGGGGGGGGGGGGGGGTTATTTGCGATCACAAATATTTAATCTTTTCTATCCTTAACTTATTTCTGCTTTTCCCTGGCCAGTGTGCTCAGGTGAGCGATGTAGCACATTGGCCTCTTGTATTTATTGGTAATGTTGGGCAATCTCCTCTAATTATTTTGAAATAATCTATTGACCTATTAATGATCCATTTATTCCACATTCAAAATTGTGGATACAAAATTAAGTAATTGAATTTATGAGAGGAAGCATCACCTATATATCCACTCCACCTCATGACATGCACTGATATTCTATATTTGTTTCTTTTTACAAACTAATTGCATTTCGTCTGGAATGTGACACCGCGGTAATATAGCATGACATGACAGAAATAAACCTTAGGAAAATGGATAATAAAAATGTTAACTGAAAATATTGCATAAAGAATGTAAACAATAAGGATTTAGAATATCAATCCACCATCCAGGTATATTTAATTAAAGAAAATTGTTTTTACAGATGCATAAATGAAAAACAACAAAATGTCAAATTCTTTTTTTAATAGTGGATTAAGGGGGGTTATAGTTTTGTTAATTTGATTTTGATTTGTATGTTTTCGAAGTAAACACAAATATTTCATTGTAAGATAAGAAAAGAAAATATTAAAAATTATAAACGAAAGGCAAGACGAATTAATTTTTGTGTATGTGAATCCGGCTCTTGGAACTGCTTCTTCCTTGCCCCGTTTTACCCAATTCTCCAAATTTTATGTAAAGCACGTTTTCATTGGTCAATGTTCCATCGAGTAATCCAATAGCAGGTGATTTGATAAACACACATATGTCAGAATATCAACATGTCGACGAAGATGGCATCGTACGAAAAAATTTAGGTCATTTCTTCATCGATTAAATTAAGGTTACTTAAAATATGTTTCAACGATCAAAAGGATGGCTTCCTGGACTTCTATCGAAGCCAAAGAATCCACATTCCTTAGAGCATTTGAAGTAAGTATTTATTAAAGTATATTTACATATTTATCTTATCGTACTGTATATATTGATTAAGAATCCTATTTCTACTTATCTGTGTATTACAGCAAGAGAGTCACGTTTATGCGCATTTATAACATTTACTAGCGTTATGAAAACTTTTGTACCATGCATCACCGCTTTTTCATTGCTTGAATATCAATCAAGAATCTAATGATACATTTGTGGCTCTAAATCTTTGAATTTAAATAAATCAGAATTCAAAATACATGAAGATTTTGCTGAGTTGATTGATAATAATGGAATACATTTATATAGGATCTTTCATAGTTTGTTGCTGGATATGATTTTTACCCAACAAGTTGTGTGTTTTCCTCTCCCAAAGCCTTGGCGAGGAGTTGAAAAACGCACAAGGAGTTATAGATAACAATCATATCCAATTAAAAACCAATAGGAGATTCTTTTTTTTTTTTTACATGTTTTACATATAGCTCTCACATGTTTAACACTGTTTTTTATGCCCCGCCATGAATATGGCCGGGGCATATAGTGTTTGTCATGTCCGTCTTCCGTCCTTCCGTCCTTCCGTCCTTCTGTCCTTCCGTCTGTCCTTCCGTCACACTTTGCGTTTAGCTCTGTTCAAAGCTCAGTTTCAAAGAAACTATCCAAGATAATTTTATCAAACTTCATATGCTGATAGATATTGATGAGGGCTATGCAACTGCATCAGCATTTTTTGACCTTGACCTTTCCTTTGACCTTGACCTCACTTTTCTTAAATTAGTGTTTAGCTCAGTTTTAAAGATACCATTCAAGATAGTGTAATCAAACTTCATATGTTGATACATACTGATGTAAGCTATTCAATTGCATCAACATTTTTTTGACCTTGACCTTTATTTTGACCTTGACCTCACTTTTCTTAAATTAATGTTTAGCTCTGTTTTAATGAGACCATTCAAGATATTTTTAACAAACTTCATATGCTGATACATACTGATGAGAACTATTCAACTGCATCAATATTTTTTACCTTGACCTTTCCTTTGACCTTGACCTCACTTTTCTTAAATAAGTTTTTAGCTCAGTTTTAAAGATACCATTCAAGATAGTGTTATCAAACTTCATATGCTGATACATACTGATGAGAGCTATTCAACTGCATCAACATTTTTTGACCTTGACCTTTCCTTTGACCTTGACCTCACTTTTCTTAAATTAGTGTCAAACTTCATATGCTGATACATACTGATGAGAGCTATTCAACTGCATCAATATTTTTTGACCTTGACCTTTCCTTTGACCTTGACCTCACTTTTCTTAAATTAGTGTTTAGCTCAGTTTTAAAGAAACCATTCATAATATATTCATCAAACTTCATATGCTAATACATACTGATGTAACCTTTTCAACTGCATCAACATTTTTTGACCTTGACCTTTCCTTTGACCTTGACCTCACTTTTCTTAAATTAGTGTCAAACTTCATATGCTGATACATACTGATGAGAGCTATTCAACTGCATCAATTTTTTTTGACCTTGACCTTTCCTTTGACCTTGACCTCACTTTTCTTAAATTAGTGTTTAGCTCAGTTTTAAAGAAACCATTCATAATATTTTCATCAAACTTCATATCCTAATACATACTGATGTAACCTTTTCAACTACATCAACATTTTTTGATCTTGACCTTTCCTTTGATCTTGACCTCACTTTTCTTAAATTAGTTTCTGAATCAAACGTCATATGCTGATACATACTGATGTAAGCTATTCAACTGCAGCAATATTTTTTGACCTTGACCTTTCCTTTGACCTTGACCTCACTTTTCTCAATTTGTGTTAAAATGTTGCATTACTAATATACCCTTGGCGGGGCATTCATGTCCTATGGACATATTTCTAGTTTATATGTGAATCTTCATTTTTCTTCATCACTTTCATGTAGAAACCTTTGTGATGTGCATCCCAACTATTGATATGAAAATGATATATGATATGATAATACCTATATCCACTGAGTATCCAAGGAGGGTTGTATGTTCGTTCGCCCTAAAACGCATTCGCCCTTGATGCCGTTCGCCCTAACTCTCGTTCGCCCAGAGTCCGTTCGCTCTAAAACTCGTTTGCCCAAAGTCCGTTCGCCCATAATATGTTCAGTCGGTTAATTTTTCGTAATTTCTTTGATTTTATTGGATTTTATGAATGTTTGTTTAAAGTGTAATTTATTTTATTTGAACATTCAGTATAGATAAAAATGATAAAGAAATAAAAAAAAAAAATCTGTTAAATAATCGATGTGATACTCGTTGATTTATAAGCAATGTTATACAACTAACATTATATTAAATTGAAAATAAAAGATCTGTAAAAAGAAAAAAAAATTCAGAGGCTGCTTATCCCCAATTGAAATAACCTATATACATAATTAAAGTCAATCAATCTCATTTTCATTTATTATTTTCTAAACATATATGTTATACGAACCTTTAAAAAAAAGAAGAAAGTGTTCCCTAATATATGGTAAGTACTAAATTAACAGCAATTAAACGTTTACGATTAAGTCTTTGATAAACAATAAAATCAGAAAAAAAGAAATGATATATGTTTATTAGATCTTTTAAGTAAAAAAAGAAAAGTCTTAAAATTCAACGATAATGTTGACATACATTATTTATGATAGGGCGATCGAGATATATGGCGAACACGATATAGGGCGAATAAGAATTATGGTGAACAGACCTTGTGCGAACGGACTCATGGTAGATAGGGCGAACGGACCCGAAACCTCCAAGGAGTAAGCAAGTGATTTACAGTTACATGCTCTTTCTGTTCTTAGCAGTGTTGTGGTTAACTTTTGAAACCTTAGGGGCCATGTGGGCTCCTACCTTTTCAAATTTTACGGGCCCACAATGTGATCTATGGGCCCACATATGTAAATTAAAAATAACAACAACAAAAATCCTAAATTTTTCTAGTTGAGTTTTTTTTTCGTAGTATCGATATGTTTGCAGTATATGAATTTTTGTCACGTTTTCTCCTTTTTACTCGCATTTGCAAGTGGGCGAGTGGTTATCCACAACCCTGATTCTTAGGGGAAATCGGGGAAGGGGGGGGGGCTACTAATTGTCTAAGCAGTCTTTTTCATCACTTGGTTGCTTAAATGGTAAGTCCAAAATGTGAGGAGTGTCCAGTTTTCAAATATTTATAAAAGTGTGAGTATATATTATTCATTGTCAGTCCAGACAGTACTTAGTATCCCTCTAACCTAACAGTTATCCAACTTACTGTCACTGTTTTGTGGCGAATCCAGGTCATATCATTGTTTACATTAGTGACAATCTAATTATTCAAATAATCAGTTGCCAAAAGTACAATGTATTCCCGAGGGTTGAACTTCATTGTCGGAACCCACAGATTTTCTCTCCACTACACTAGATTCATATAGTGTAAGTGGGGAAAGATAACCCTATGGTTCTGAGGATGGTTGAACATCAAATAGTAGGTTTTCTAATTAGGAATGTTTAGAGTATTTTATCAGCTTTCAAAAGTAACGATTGTCAGAAAGAAATTTGTTGATCCTTAAAAAAACCACAATGATCAATCTTGCAATGTATTTAACAGTACATTATCCCTAGCCAACAGATGTTTCCTACCTTCATTGAGAAAGAGTAATAACGATATCAAGTATTGAAGAATTTTTAAAATTAATTAAAAATGCCTACATAGTTATAAGATCATTGCTTAAGCATATTTTCAAGGTAAGTATTTTACAAAAGGAGGGTTAATTATACTTATTTATAGGTCAAGAATATTGAAGCAATAGTCTGATATTAAGGGCTTATAGTGGCATTATTGTGAGAGCTAATGTAAGATGCATGACTTTCAGCTAGGTCCAGGTTAGCTTTTTCACCTGTTCAGCAGAGCATGGACCTTTCAACCCAGATTGATAATCTAAATCATGAGATTTAATTGTAAGATCATCTGTTTCTGAGACAAATTTATGTCCTAAAAGTTTAAGAATCTGAATATCATCAACCACAACTTTAAAGTATTGAAGACCTACATTTGTTATCCAGCACATACTCTTTGATCTCCAAACATATCATGAAGTCAGGATGTATAATTTCAAAAGGGATATTTATATCCTAGGATAAGGAGCATTTTACCTTTTATATGCTAAATATTATTCAACAACATTGTAAATTTACTTTTTGGGGTTACTTGCAGATTGACTCTGAAAAAGGTATTATATATATACATTGTAATTATCAAACAGGTAACTCTGTATTTAATCATCGCACAAAGCCATTACATTTTCAGCACGTATCAATGGGGAAACATCCTTGAATTATATTATTTTGATGTGATAAATCAAATGTACAGTGTATAATTATATACCGGGTATTTAAAAAAAAAACTGTCAAAGATTCATGGTTAACCATAAATATGGTTATTTCGTTTAATTGTCAAGTTTAAAGTGTTACATAGTTATGAGGATAGTCATGATACTTTACAATAAAATCTTATAACAATGTGTTATATGCAACCAGATACCTACACAGCCTGCTATGTAAGAATCAGACAGTGACGGAGGGTAACAGGAGTCTACTGGTGGAAACACTGAGATCCATCTCTGAAATCCTAATCTGGGGAGATCAGAATGACAGCAGTGTGTTTGAGTAAGTTTTCTATATGGGAGTTACAATTACGGTGCATTGACCCTCTGAGAAGAGAGATAACTCTCACTATGATAAATGACTACTACATGTATTTCTTTATAAACTTGTCATGTTAAAAATCCATTTTTGTCCCGTTTTTCCCTGCAAGGTATGCTGAAATTGTGTGCATCTTAATCATTAATTAGATTTCTTTTTGAAAGTTATTAGCATTAAAGCTAAATTTTATACATGTATGAGTGAAAAGAGGAACCTTAAGTTCCTTCTTAATATAATCATAATATGATAATAGCATACTTATTTGAATGTAAGAAAATTCTCTTCATTATTTTATATCTGTTATTTATTTATTTTTTTTTCTTTCAGCTTCTTCTTGGAGAAGAACATGCTTTCATTTTTTCTGAGATATTTACAACAGAAATCGGGTCGCTTTATTTGTGTACAACTTCTCCAAACGCTCAACATTCTGTTTGAGAATATCAGCAATGAAACATCACTCTGTAAGCTCTTGCATATCTTTCACCATCAGCGTGTAAATTTATAATATGTAGGTATACAGCTATTGTGATAATGCATAAAGGATAAGGAAGAAAAAAATGTGTTGCTCTAAATATTTGATATGCATATATACAACAGATATTTAAAAAAAATGCAGCATCTAGATGTATAGAGGCCAGATGCATATGTTTCACAATGTTTTTAGTTCAAGCAGATTTTTGAAAAAAAAATGTAAAATGATTAATTGCAAAATGGATAAAAATTAATCCTGTTAATTTCAGATTACCTGTTATCAAACAATCACATCAACTCAATCATTGTCCACAAGTTTGACTTCTCCGATGAAGAGGTGAGTGCAATAAAATTATATGGAAAATTTTGATGAATGAAATTTCCTGTGTTTTTTCTTTCCAATAGTAAATATAATTTATCCAGCATTTATTTTTTCTTTTATTCTATTTTAGGTCATGGCCTATTACATTTCCTTCCTGAAAACCCTGTCATTCAAGCTGAACAGGCATACAATTCACTTCTTTTATAATGAGGTAAATTTTACTGTCTGAGTAATAGTTTTAAAAATGAATTCAGTATTTTTTGAAATTTCATAGATTTTGTGGGTACCCCTTGCCATGAATTTATAACCTCTCTGAATAAGGAGAGATTAGATGTTATCTTTCATGACGAGATGCTTGCACATGAACTGCAAATTGTCAGCAATTAAACAATCCAAGAAAATTGCCAACCAAAAATTAAAATGATCTCAGTCACATTGAGACCCTGGTTTATTTTACAGCACACCAATGACTTTGCCCTATACACTGAGGCCATCAAGTTCTTTAACCACTCAGAGGCCATGGTCCGAATCGCTGTCAGGACAATCACACTCAATGTCTACAGAGGTTGGTCAAACTTAAAATAAACAGAATTATTTGTTAAAATTACCAAAATTTTCAATTAATTATCAACAGGTATTGAAATGAGATTTTTTTCTTCAGTTGAGGACAAGACAATGTTGAAGTACATTAGGAACCGGACTGCAGCTCCTTACTTCTCAAACCTTGTGTGGTTTATAGGGAACCACATACTGGATCTTGATTTGTGTGTCAGGAATGATGCCGAGTCAGTGCTTTATTCTGTGTAACAAAGTCTAACTCTAAAATTTTGTTTTACAAAACTAAGTAAACAAAGTTTACATGAGTATACTATACTTTGGCAGGGTTGTCTCTAAGAATTCAAATAGCAGGGGACATTAAAAAAGTAGAAGGGGTCTGGGGTTCCTCCCCTAACAGGAGGTTGAGGGGGAATACCAGAGTAGCCAGTGGATAATGTCATTATAACCGGGAAATTCCCTGCCCCCCGATCTTGGCAACAACCCTGCTTTGGACACAAGTATTATATACTTTTACAGTTGAACTTTTGCAAATTTCTAGAATAAGTAGTTATTTACACATTTAAATGGAAGCAAAATTTGAAAATTGACAGGGGATGTCTATTTAGAAATGAAATGGATGCAAAATTTGAAAATAATCAAGGGATCCAGACTTCACTTAAAAATGAAATATGAAGATAATGAACAGTGATCATTCTCAAAAGTTTATTTAAACAATACAAATTATGAGCAGAACCAACACGGACCTCAGAAAACAGAGGTGGGATCAGGTGCCATGGAGGAGTAAGCATCCCCTATCGACTGGTCACACCCAATGTGTGCTCTTTGTCATGATTGGGTAAACGGAAAAATCCATAGACAAATCAGTGTGAAAATAATGGCGGAACCAGGGATCGACATTAACGGTTGTCCGATTGCCCGGGACAAGTAAATTCTCAGTTCGGGCAAGTGAAATTGTTGAGGTACTTGTCCAACCGGGCAAGTGAATTTTTTTCATACAAATGCACATATTTATTTAGTTTACATTAATTTATAAATAAAACAATACATTGAACAATTGATTTCCGCCACGCACCTTATTGACAATGTTTTGCATTCGGAATTCCTTGATAGCATTTCTGGATTATACCATTCATTTAAAAATCGGGTTTGTTATTTTCCTTCGTAGTAAATACGCTCTATATCTAACAAAATTTTGTTAACTTCTTATTAGGAAGTTAGATTATTTATTCACGCACAGAATGTAGGTACAGTGTAACTCAATGTATCATGATCAAGATAAAGATGTATGTTTCGTAGCAAATAGCTTCCTTTAGCGTTGCTTCACAGTTATCTCTGATAATCACGATTCACAAAAGGAGCCTACCAAAATAATTTCTTTAAAAATATGAATTTTATTTAAAGGAAATTAAAAGGAAAGGGTTATTGCTGCATGGCAGTGTGTGTTAAAAGGTTAAAATTACAAGTACAGTGGTATACATTTATGTACAAATGCAGCATCAATTTTTTATCACTGACTTGTAGCTGGTATTTGATCACTTTTTTTCTTATCGTAACGTTTACGGAAATTAATTTTTTCTTCTTATGTTCTTTCCTAATTTTGGGCAACCAAGTTTTGAATTCGGACAAGTCAAAGTTTGAGATCACTTGCCGGAAGGGCAAGTGAATCTGAAAGTTAATGTCTATCCCTGGGAACACTTTTTTTGAAAGACGTCAGTCAGCATTTGACATAGTATGACTAAATTCTGCTTAAATCATTGTAAACATGTATATGTATTATGCCAACAATGCGGTAAACTTAATGACCATCAAACTATTTACAGATAAAAATTGTCTTTAAATAAACATATTGCTTAGATAATTGTTTTGACGTGTTAATGATCTTGAGCAATGGTTACTTCTTGATAAAATTATATAGTAATGCTCCAATTCTTCCAGCCATCAGAGCAGGGACCGTTTAGCAGATCTGGTAGCAGAGCACCTAGATCACTTACATTATCTGAACGACATCTTATGTCTGAACATTGATGCCCTGAATGACGTCCTGACTGACCAGATGCTGAACCGCCTACTGATTCCTCTGTATGTGTACTCACTGACCATGAGGAAACGGTCAACAGACAGGATGGTAAGGCATCATTTATAGATTATACTGTATACAGCCACAGAGTTATCTTCACCCTGTCACACTTGCAAATTATTTTGCCCTATTTTACAGATTTAGAAAAAGAGAGATAACTCTGTCTCTGTTGAATTCACCCCATTTTAAATTCGCCTGTTAACAACAAAGGCAGAATGGAAACAGGGGCAAATATTTCCCTGTATACAGTATCATCAGTGTAGCCTCATCTTTCCTAGAGATAATCTAAGTTGTGTATTTTATTATAACATGTATTACTACATGTATTACTCTAGGGTGTGAGTAGGATTTAGATAACATATGAGGGTGTTCAAGCACTTTTTTTTTAGCCTTTAGCAAGGGAGAATGACTGTCTCTTTATATTAATGAATTTACTATTAATTTATTATACAGGTTGACAGAAAACATGTCAGCTCAGTTGTATCCCTTTTCCTTTTATCTCAGGTCAGTTTCATCAATGAACACATTGCTGTAAAGCTTTCTTAGGAAATCAAAATTATTTTTAGAGATATGAGGTGTTTAATAGCAAGTATCAATTACTTATTTTCATTCTTGCAGGTGTTTTTAATTATTAGTTATGCCCCTTTAGTGAGGCAGTTGGCGGAGATTATTTTTCAAGGTGAAATCAGCTTATCTAGGAAGGAGGCTTCCCCTGAAACAGTATGTTTATATGTAATATGAAATTAAATATAGTCTAATATAGTCTATTGATTTTAACCAATAGAGATCTGAGTATTTTAAAATTATGTATAATGGAGTTATTCATAGATACTAGGGACTGCTGAAAACCATTTTTCCCCAGTATAAAAGTAGTTGTAAGAAGAAAAATGTAAAGGAAATATGGTATTTTTATTTTGCTTATTGAAACTTGACAATGTTGAATATCACAATCTTTTTACAAAAAACAAAACAGAAAGAATTTAATTGTAACTTCATGCTGTCTTTACAATTCCTGTGTAGAGAGTGAGAGAGTTTGTTCCCCCTGCTGAGAGCCTGGAGAAGACTTTGGAGAGTAACCGGGGGAGACCTGATAATATGGAAGACAATGGTACGCTAATTCAGACGGGAAATTCTGTATTTTATGCAAGAATCGAGTCTCTGTCATCGGGAAGGGGTACTGGTGATGACATGCCACCAGATTCCGGTATTTTAAATTTTTGGGACGCCATTGTTTTTTTGTTCCTTTTCTTTTGCCTCCTAAATTAGCTTCCCTCCTTCTTCTTTAGTTTTGATAGTTTTTCTTCTAACGAAGCATGTTCATTGCTAAATTATTAATGAAGGTTGAGTGTTTGTGTCTTTAATTTTTTGTAGAAAAAATGCTTAATCAAGCTGAAGGGGAAAAAAATCATATAGTAAAATTAGAATGTAAAGCTTAATTTTTAACGTAAAATTAATAAGAATTGAAGCCTTTTTATTATTAAGTGACAGTTGACGAAAAGAGATATTCCTGTCTGTGTTGCTTTCCTGATTCAGAAGAGAAATATTTTACGTGTGTAGTAAGTTCTGCTGCCCTCAGAATATTCATGGAACTGCTTCCCCTAATGGTGTTGGTCTTTTCTGCATTAGAAGTATGGAAGAATCTAATGAGATAACGTGCAGTAAACAGAGTAACTAAGCTATCTGAGCTTAGAAATTTGAAAGAATTTATTACCAGTATATTGGTTAAAAGCATTAGGCTGCAATGTTTCAAACTATATTTTTCTGTAAATGAAAGATAAATACAAATTGTGTTAATTTTAAATAAGAATATTAAACAAGTCAGAGAAGGTTTTTAAGATATATGAAAAAAAAACAATTTATGAAAAAATTGCTGCTTTGAAATAAAAATGTTCATCTAATAGTTTTTCTCACATCACCCATTTCTGCTAGAGTTCCTTTCACATTGTTTTGTAATTTCTATCGTACATGAGTTTTTTTTATTAGTTTGGTAAAATTGATTTTGCTTTTTAATTTTAGAATGAATTTTAAATTAAGAAATAAATATAATTTTTAAAGTATCTTCCATTAATACTTTTTGATAATGTGAATACAATATTCCATCAATTCAGTGCTCATATATCATCACTTTCATTAGACTAGTTGTGAATTTTTATGACTGTATATTTTAAGAACTGCCTCAGAGTCCCAGTAGTGAGGTGTTTTCTGGGGGTGAGGACATGTCGAGTCCGAATCAAAACTCAACGGACGAGGAGAAACTCCTGAGTTCACTGGGTCGAGGTCACAGGATGGAGTTACCGGGGGCAACAGATGCGGAACAAAGTCCTGCGACATTCTCTCTGGACAACAGGTAGTGGTTTAGTTTACACTATACAAATGTCTACTGTCATATTTAAGACAGAAGAGACGTGCATGTACATTGACTCCTAGGATAGTGGACTAAGTCTGTTGTTGATGAGAATTTCAATATTAATATATAGACTCCTCAGAATATAACTGTACTAATAATAATACCACAAAAACTCCATTGTATATAAGCAGTAGTTTATTCTCTGGGTTTGCTTGTTATAAAGAAACATATCAAAAAAAGGGGGGGGGGGAGAGAAAACAACAGTGATTTCTTTTAACTAATACTTCATTGTCTTTGAACATTTTTCCTAGAAAAATACGGCAGGTACCCTATGTTGAAAATGAACTAAATAAATTCAATATGAACACCTATATATGATAAAAATTTCTTCCAAAACATTTTTCATTAGTGTTTAGAGCTTCCTAAAAATCTTGTAATAAATTGAGGTTAATTTTCTGTGATAGGCCATACTTGGAGGCTGTGTTTACCGCCCTGGAATGTACTGAGAATGACTATGAAGCACTGTTTGCCCTGTGTCTTCTGTATGCCATGGGACACAATGAGGGTAGGTGGTAGAAGTATTGCTTTATTATTGAATTTAACCTTTTCTGGAAAAATTGTTAAAAGCTTAACATGCTTCATAGTTTTTTATAGTTGCATTTGGACTTGTTTTGTTTGATACATGTAATATGCATTTACATTGCTTTGTAAGAAGTTTAATTTTTATTAGGGAGTAAGAAAAATCATGCAATATTTGTCATTTGTTTTAATGCATCACAGAAGGTATAAAATGTTGTCATTATTTATTGATAGATGTAATTGGATTGAAAAATTTATGTTACCATTAAGACTTTTCCAAATGTTAATCAACAAATTCCAATTTGAAGATAATGATGAAGTGTTACAGTGTAAATTTTTTTCATGCATATAAATTGAAGTCTAAATAGTTGGAATAGTCTTATTCATGTTGTTTTGTGTATTTAGAATAGAATTGACTCTTTTTATCATTCTCACAAAGTTGTCTTATATGTGTTTTGAATAGTATGGAAGCAGGTTTGCATGAGGTGCTCAGTGTAAATATAAATGTACAGTAAATGTGAACTTTTTTGGGACAAAATTTGCGATTTTCATGTAATAAAGTATTTGTGTGGGGTTACTTTTGAAGAAGTTTAAGAATACACAAATAGGTGTAATCTGCATTATGGTACAGTACCTACACGTATATTGAAATTGGCATGCTGAACAGTTTTGCAAATTTTAAATCATTGCAAAAGTCTCAAAAATTTCCCCCAGACAATCATTTTACTTTACAGTTTGTGAGAAAGTTTTGGAGTAAATACACTGTCAAATTTCAAGATTTGAAACTTAATATGTATGTGTTGTATATCCTATGATATATTATATATCATAAATGCAACTTGAAATCTTAATCTTTGAAATACTAAGCGGTAAGATTGGTGGCTATTTTTGATAACAGTGGTTATTACTATCATTGATCAAAATTTAATTCAAATAGAATCGGTGAAATTGAAATTTATCTTGCAATTTTTTCATCTACAAATAGTGCAATTCACTTTATTCATACAATCAATTATGAAATAAGTAAATAGAATTGTGTTTGGCATTTTGCATTATATTTTCTTCTCATCAGTTTCAGATTTTAAATCTGCATGTGTCAAGCGGGAAAATATTACATATTTTTTCTATGAAATTTTTTATTATGTAGATCATATTGATATACAGTGGTATGAAAAATACTGGTGAGAAAAGATAACTTGTAAAACTTGTACATGTATTAGCAAGTCTAAGGCAAGTCCCCAGTACTGCTTCTAACCCATTTTTTTTTTTTTTTACATTAGGTCACTATAATGAAATTATATCACTCTACAAATGGTTATCCCAAAATTCCCAAGAAGGTCACTAATTTTCCAGATTTTTGTATCTGTTTACTCTGGATGCTGATATAGAATTACATGCAAGAAATAAAATCTGGGAGCCTGATACAGAATTGAACACAACTTCACCTGATCATACAATTTGATCAAAATTAATTCATTTCAAATTTGTCTAAATTGGGATAGATTTTTCTATATACCTGGGTACTCTACCTTAGAAATACCTTAGAAATATATGTGCTGACTACCGTAATAGTATCATGCACTGTGAGTTTTGTGTATTTGCATACATACATACATTTAAATTTTAAATGTGTCCAATATTTTTGTTTATAATTTGTAGGTATCCACCAGGAGTTGATGGATTCTGTTTTATTGCCAACAGAGAGATGTGAAGTATGTACTCTGTTTCTCCTTACTGTGTAGAAGGTCGAGATATTGTTTGTTGTATGAAAATGCATTCCTGTATCTTTATCAATATTTCTGATATCATATAAAATGTAATATTTCACTGTATGGTCTGTATTACAGAAATACTAGATGGCAGATTAAAATTACTATTGACATCAAGATGACAGTTGATAAAACTATTGATACTGTTTTAGGGAGTAGATAAGTTGTAGTATGACAGAAGTGAAGGCTGAGGTTTCATTTGTAATACGTTTATATCAAAGAAGATGAAATTAACAGAGTCTGAATTTGCTGGACTCATTTGAAGGGAATCCTTCATTTGTAGATGTTACTCGTGAGGAAGGTTTGAGTTAAGGACAAAATACAAACAATCTTTTTTTTCCCCAAAAAATCTTGAAAATAACTGAAGTCATTTTAATTTAAGTAAAATGAATAAGTTCATATGTATAGATTTGAATTTCTCATTCAAAGTTTCAATGTCCTATAAAGTGATGAAAAGTTGCATACTATATTTAATTAGATTTTAGGGTGATTGCAGAAAGGTAGAATTATGAATATCATGGAAAGTTTATATTTTCTTGATATTTTAGAAAACAGTTATTTTCATCATTACAATCAAATACATATAGGTCATAAAATATATGCTAATATATCCTTCTTTTTTTTTTTTTTGATATCATCTGTCCTTAAAAAAGACATTACTTGAATGACATGATTTATTCAATGAAAGTAGAATAGAACCCCAAACTTGGAAGAATTATAGACATTTAAGAAACAGCAAGTAGGGAAGACATAGGGACTTGGATATTTAGTTCCTTATAATAACCAAGATTGTTTTAATCCATATAAGAAAATGTTATGAATTGAGAGATGGGAAAAAGATATAATTTCCTTACAACCAAGATTACCTTAGAACAGAATTTCTTTTAAGCAAGTTTTACAGTATGAAAGAAAGTCAACATAATATGATTATCAAAATCATATGTTTTAGTTAGATTTACTTTTTTGTTCCTCATCTAAGTACAGAAGTCTTTTTTTGAGTTTATTTTTATCCTTGAACAAATTATTGTCAAATGTTTACAGGAGGCGTATTGTGTATTTCATTGATTTTTAATCTTAACATCATTTCTTACTGTCTGTCAGATGGCAATGCAATTGGCAAAAACAAAAATTTAATTTTCAGATGTTAGGTTGGCAATACATACAGTTGAACTCTTGTATCTTGAACACTGATATTTCGAATTCCATGGAAAAGTCAAAGTGATTTGAAAGTCCCAACTACTTATTCTTTAAGTATTTAACCCCTGATATCTTGAATCCTCTGATATCTCGAAGTTTTTTCGCGGTCACATCGAGTTTGAAATAACGAGATTTGACTGTACTAATTACTGGGTTTGCTTAAGTCTTAACAGTAAAGGGAATTAAACTCAGTGAATTAAAACCTTACTTAATTATTCTTACAGACAAAAGATCACTATAATGTGGCCCTGGTTGAATGCCTCATCAGGATCATTACATTAGCCTGTCAACATGGTAAGTTATTGTAACACCTCCTCAGGATCATTACATTAGCCTGTCAACACAGTAAGTTATTGTATCACCTCCTCAGGATCATTACATTAGCCTGTCAACACAGTAACTTTTTGCAACACCTCCTCAGGATCATTACATTAGCCTGTCAACACAGTAAGTTATTGTAATGCTTCCTCAGAATCATTACATTAGCCTGTCAACACAGTAAGTTATTGTAACACCTCATCAGGATCATTACATTAGCCTGTCAACACGGTAAGTTATTGTAACGCCTCATCAGGATCATTACACTAGCCTGTCAACACAGTAAGTTATTGTAACGCCTCATAAGGATCATTACATTAGCCTGTCAACATAGTAAGTTTTTGTAACGCCTCCTCAGGATTGTCAACACAGTAAGTTATTGTAACGCCTCCTCAGGATCATTACATTAGCCTGTCAACACCGTAAGTTTTTGTAATGCCTCCTCAGAATTATTACACTAGCCTGTCAACACAGTTAGTTATTGTAACACCTCATCAGGATCATTACATTAGCCTGTCAACATAGTAAGTTAATTTACATTGTTCTTTGGTTTGTTGTTACAGTTAAACTTTGAATGGAAGTTCACTTTTATTCTCTGTAAAGAATGTTTTATCTCAACTTCACAAATACTGTAATTCCTTGGACTAAAATATATCCTTTTGTCCTTTCAATACCTCAAAAAATGTGTATAACACGAAGAAAGAATTCAGATTTATCAGTTTTGTTAGCTGAATGTTTTTTGTGTTTTAGGAAGTAAAGTCCGTTTGGCTACCTTGGAGTTGACAATCCGACTACTAAAGCTGTTAGTATACAAACAGGACCAATCATTTCTACAAGACCGACACCTGGCCTGTATAGAAAATGCTAGAGAATGTAGCACTCAACTGCTCAGAAACTTCTACAAGGTAAACTGTTTAAAACAAAACGGTTACTGATCATTTGATAAAAAAAACATATATTATTCACTTTACAATTACTAGACACTACTTTCTCAGTGAAATGGATTATAGTTTACAAATTTGATATTTTTCCGGTGAAATGGACTATAGTTCACAAATTTTACTATTTTCTAACTGAGATGGACTATTGTTTACAATTTTAACTACTTTCTCAGTGAGATTGACTATTGTTCACAAATTTGTCTTTTTTCTCATTGAGATGGACTAAAGTTTACAAAATTTGAAAGCCTACAATCCAGTTGGAGTTATTCCACTATACTTGAAAAAAGGAATGTTAGAGCATTACTGATTGAACTACAATGTATTTGCAAACAATATTTCTGTTATCAGTATATTAATAATAAGTTATTTTAATAACGAACCAATGGGCCCAGCAGCTCACATGAGTAACTGTTTTGAAAATGAAGAATCCAGCAATAATTATTCAGGAAGGATAACTCCCTTCCATCTGAGAGGTTGCATTTCTGGTTTTGGAGAGTTATCATTCTTTAGCTATACTTTCATTTCAGAGTGAAGAAATTTTCCTGGATATGTTTGAGGATGAATATACACAAATGATTGTAAGCAATTTTCAAAGTACAGACTTGCATTTAGTGTAATATTGATTAAAAGAAAAATAAAAATAGTATTTTTGTTTCACGAAAGAGACAGGTTTAAATAAGTGCAAATTATCTTGTATGCTATAACTTACAAAAAGAAATATTTAAAAATCTTTAAATTTATTTCTATGTATAAAAAAAAATCTAACAGACAGTGAAAGTGGTTGCACTTGGATAACCATATTTTAAAATCCTTTAATTTAATTGCATAATAGTTTCTTCACAAAATGATTAAATTCAGTCAAATGCATACTAAGTACTATTTAAATTTCTATGCATTTTATTTGCTCATTTTACATAAAAACCTTTCTACTTCTAAGAAAATATGAAATGATTTTTAAAATAGTTTTAGGAGTCAAAGCAGGTCATACAGTTATTCAAATTCTAAATGTGATGAAGGGAATTAAATGTTATTTACAAGTTATTTCTATGAAAAATTATGTACATGTATGTCCGTGCTCTGCTACATTGTAGAAATATCATGAGGATAAAAACAAATCCAGACATTGGCCTTATAAGCAAGAAAACAACATATTCATTTTTCTGAGAAAATTTATGTACTACTGTAACCACAATATAACCTAACAAGTTCAGATAAAGTCGTGTAAAGCTCTTCTTAATGTGGAAAAAAAACTTAGAATGAAGATAAAATCTTAAAGGTGACTTTGAAGCATTTTAAAGAAGAAAAACAAATCAACATGAAAACTTGACAGTTTGTCATTGCATCAGATTACAGAGAATGCTTTTTAATTCACTTAATGAACCATGTTTTGGTTTAAAATAGAAAAAAGGTTTACTATTTTGGTTGATGTTTTTTTTTAAATGAATCTTTAACCTTCTCACACTAAGTGTGTATTTTTGCTATTTGATAATTTGTTTCTAATTTTTGAACTTTTTTCTGAAACTCTACCAAATCATTTTTAAAGATCTTGGTATTTAACTTCTATGTTAGTCAATGATCTCACCCCTACGAGACTTTGTGATTGTGGCAAAATTCTCTGAATTTATCCAAAAAAAATGTTATAAATACAAGTTGTCAAACATACTCAAGTTATGGTAGTTAATGCAAAATGTCTTAAATGTTCTACAAGGACAAACAAGATGAGACACTGTGTTTCAGTAACTACATGTAAATACCAGTAAAACTGAATAGTGGCTTTATCACACAGTTTTTCTTTTGTGTAAAAGTTCAAAAAAAAAAATTGAAAATGGTTTTACCATTCTATATAATTGAACTTTATAAGAACCACATGCCAATTAACTTTTGATAATGGTACAGTTAAACTTTGGTATCTTGAACATCGATATCTCAAATACCATGGATAAGTTGATTTGATTTGGAAGTCCCAACTACTTATTCTTTAAAAATTTTACCCAAGATATCTTGAAGCCTTGGATATCTCAAATTTTTTTCTCAGTCCCATCGAGTTTGAGATAATTAGGTTTGACTGTATATAATCTCCAAGCATTTCCAGAGATACTGGACACAGTTAGAGGCAGCAATTTTATTTGAAACAGTCCCTTTTAAATCTTTGATCGACTTCTGAATTTCTTAATCTGTCTTTGAACAAATATTTTTATAAACTTTTAAATTATATCATGAGTGAACACTTGACATTTCACCCATATCAGCTTTCCAAAAAGTTTGCCTGACTACAGCTGTTTGTCTTTCCAAGAAAGATAATTGTAAGAGTGTTAAAATCTATAACACTTTTGTAACACTTGAACAGTTTTTGCTTGAGATGAATTTTTTTAAATAGAAACTGATGCTAAACATATCTCCTACATATCCTCATATAAAATAAATAAATCCGGTGGAACAGGGTCAGAATTGAGGATTATTCCCTAAAGATTTTATTCAAGTCCTAGATTGGTTATTTAAAATAATGCTAGGTCATTGCTTTAGTTGTATGTGTAAAATAAAATTGCATAATTATGTTAATGATAGTCCTTTCAGGGAGAGAATTAAGCAGTTTATATTGATGCATTTTGTATAAAAGGCATTCTAATGAAATTCTGAAAATGTCAAACTGAGATTAACCTCCCTCCACCATTTCTTTATTTAACCACCCTTTGAAAACATGATTGTTCTTTTTCCAAGTGATATTTTTGGGCTCTGAACTTCGACAATACCAAGCAAAGGAACTTGTCTTGAATTGTACTGAAGATGGAATGCTGGGAACATTTTGTACAAGTTTAATACTACAATATGGGCAAAAATGACGTTAAATATCAATACAGTCACTGGAGACATTTTGCACAAGTTTAGTACTAAAATTTAGGCAAAAATGACATTAAATATCAATATAGTCACTGGAGTTTTCATCCTTGAAACAAAGATTGTGTAAGTTTCATTAAAAATGTCAATTCATTACGTATATAGATACCCAAACAAATAGAAAATTTATAGGAGTCATATAAGCTGACTGGAAATTACACAAGTGAACTAATTTACAAATCGAGTCCAGAAATTAGGAGATTTTTGGATTGTTTGGGGGAAAATCGGATCAAAAGCATAACCCATTGTGTCATAAAAAATAATAGGGTTACAGGTCTATTACCAGGCAATATTGGGTGAGTTGGCAACTATGATGGGATACCACAATGAAGAGTCAGACATTGACATGTTGTGCCAATTGTGTCAGTCTTTGTCAACTTAATAAGAGACCATATAATATTCCAGAAATAATGAACTATTCCATTAATATTAAATGTTAATTGTCTTTGTCAATTTTGCAAGAGAAGCTACATGATACTCATTATAATGCCTGTCTTTTGTGTGATTGAAAGGAGCAACATCTCCATTTGTGTGGCTGCAACACATCATTATACTTTTATCAAAACTTCAATCAGAAAATTTACATCAAATATACAGATATTTTTAAGATATGGTGAATTTTGTTTATATAACTAAAATTTCCACATTTTTGAACAAAGTAAATCATGGCTTTATTTAAGGTAACCTAAATCCCTCTGGTGCTGGAATAAAAATCTTGATTTCCTTGTCTTCTATTAGACAGTCTCTTAAAATTCAAAATGCCCAGTAAGGTCTGGATCAAAATTGTCACATTCTTTTCTCTTTCATATTAAGTTTAGGTGAGGACCAATATAACAGCCAAGTTGATAACATATTACAATAAAACACCTGGAGACTAAATGTAATTACAAATGAGGTAATTAAGCCTTGAACCAAAATCTGAAAATAATCATAAATAAATGTCTTAAGTCATTTATATGTACATTTATTGCAGAATCGTCCTCTTAATGTTGAGTATTTGACAATGGATGCCTCCATCTTGCTACCCCCTACAGGGACACCCTTAACAGGGATTGACTTTAACAAAAGATTGCCATGTGGGGAAGTGGAACGTTCCAGAAGGGTATGTCAATGCATAATGTTTTTGGTCTCCTCATCTGTCCATATCACATTCAGTTCTTTGATGTTTTACTGGCAGATTTTGTTTTTGAAAATATTTCTGATTTGGTCACTTTTTAGCTTTCATAGGCGAGATGAGCTTATGCTATGCCTCATGTATTGCCCACGGAAGCAGATCCATTCTAGATTAATTATAAAACCTACCCTGACTAAAATTGCGTGAATGATGCATCGAGTGATGCACACCATCAGACTTTATTCATATACATCAGACGTATATTTCGCCATATGATTGATCGAGTTTTAGCTTTTTTGAGCAAATCCATCCCTATTTTATCCAGAGCTAAATGCTCAGACTTGAAGGAATGATGCATCTACGGATGCATGAATCCTTTGGATGATAAATGGATCCAATAAACCAACAGTCAAACCTCTTTATCTCAAACTTGAAGATATATGAGGATTTGAGATAAAAAACATAATGGAAAATTAGTAAGGCCGAAAATATCAATCTTTAGTTTCTTAGGCCAAAAATTTCAAAATGCAGCTGACTTTTTTTTAAGCAGGTGTTATATCTCTTTTTTCTTGTCAACAAATAATGATAGCAAATGAACTTTACTGTTTTGTAATCTCTACTTTTTGATACTCAATAAACTAAAAAAAATATGCTTTTTAAAACTTTTTAAATAAAAGTTTATTGATAAAATGTTGTAAAATAAATATATTGTACATAATTGAAAAGGATTTTTAGAAAAATGGGAGAACAAGGCCTTAAAAAATTAATGACTAGGTTCTCAGGCTGGCTCACATCTCATTTAACAATGTGCATTACCCATTTTTATCCTCAAATTAGTAATATAAAATTTCTCTCATGAGCTGGTAGGGTGCCAGAAAAAAATCAGTATTTCCTGTCCGCATTTTGACCGCAGTTTAGATACTCCATTCAGTTAAACATTTGACAAACATCAAGATGATCCAGACTTTTGGCCTAGTTTAAAATCTCAGATATGGCTGTTGAGTTATCAGATTAAGGTATCAAGATTAAAATTTTTTAAAAAAGTCTCCCTTCTGCATTTATATTTGAGAAAACTGGCCTGAGAACCAAGTTATTAATTTTTTAGGCTTAATTCAAATTTCTTTTTCAGCCTGAAAAAATAGAAAATAGAGTTATTCCCCTTTTCAATATCTGAATAAGATTGATCAATGGGGCAATGTATTTAACTGATGTGGTGGTTCCCGAGGAATTAAATAGTAATATTTTTTGGCCTTGGGATTGCCAAATCATTTTGTCATATCCCATGTATAGGAGATTTCGTTAAACGAGATAACGAAATTCAACTGTATGTTTCTGGTAAGTGGCCAAATGAGAGTTTTTTAAGCAGGTCCTTTCCTAAGTAACCATATGTCCTACCTTGACCAAACGTGCATAGATAATGCATCTAGTACAGATTAAGATGTCCAAAGTGACTTATTTTTAATTGTTTAATGAAAGATTAGTGGTAAACTTAATTGCAGCTACTGGATCTTATGGAACATTTATCTTAGGCCAAAGTGAATTAAATCTATGTTTTACATCCCCACTTGGGTAGGTTTTAATGAAGTCCAGGGAAGAACTAGTGGATCTTATGGAACATTTATCTTAGGCTATAGTAAAATAATTTAATTTTGTTTGTATTTTAGCCTCTGATTGGTTAATATCCAAAAAGGAACACAAATTATTTCTGTATAACCTGGTTTGGTACGGGGACACACCCCCCTGACAACCAGCTGAATCATCTGTATCCATACTGTCCTCTCATTTCCAGGTCTCGGGATTCATAGAAAATTCCAGATTTAATAAATGTACCTTTACTTTCAAACAATAATTCGATCTTACCACATGTAACCAAACAACATGGCTGCTAGGCCTATGTATCAGTTTTTACCTCCCCTCGATTCCCATCACTTCCGTTACTTCCGTTACTATGGTTGTATTATTGAGCGGCAAATTTGAACTAATAAAAAATAACGAAATTTTACACCCATAGTTATTTAATGATTTTAAAATTAAATGATAAGGAATGACTCTAGTTCTTGGCCAAATTATTCGAGTATAACCTGGTTTGGGTCAGTTTACACTGTTTTATAATCCGCTTCACGGATTATAAAGCGTAAACTGACCCAAACCAGGTTATACTCGAATAATTTGGCCAAGAATTAGAGTCATTCCTAAATTAAATCTTTGTTTTACATCCCCGTTTGGGTAGGTTTTAATGAAGTCCAGGGGAAAAAAAACACAGGTTTGTCATGTTTTAAATAATTTCTCTCTGTTTTTTTATGGAAATATTGTAATCCAGTAAATTTGAAGGCTACGTTATTCTTAATCTTTTAGAGAAATAGGAATAAATCAAAAACCTAAATAGGAAAGCAGAAATGTTTTCTGTCATATTAATGCTAATGTGTGATTTATAAATCAATATTTTTTCTGATTATTGAAAAGTTTTTTTGGTGACTGGAGGATTTCTTTTTAAAGAATTAAGGGATGTAGAACAAAGTTATTATTTACCACGGCCTTATCTGTGACTTATTTTGCCTTACTTATAAGTAACATTTGTTGTTGTGAGGTTTGCTTATTGAGCCTTTCCAAGTGAATTCCCTTTATTCTCCAAGTGAAATTTAATTCTTGATTCTTCATGACAGTGTGACATCTCATGATCTTATTTAAAATTAGTTATGCAACTAATTCCAAGAAGCATTTTTCTAAATTGCAGTAATTTACCAGTGCAGATGCATGTTTAATTATTTTGAAGGTCGTAAATATAGACTGTCCTGTTATTGTAAAGAATTAGATGCAAAACCTAGGTGTCCATATGTCATTTACTGCTTAAGGTATCCATACGTCAGTTTAGTGCTCTTAAGTCCTTCTTGGAACTTTTTTTTTTTTTTTAATTTGCGTATCTAAATTTTTGGCTCTAATTTTGTACATTCTTATGCAGATTTAAAGTAATACAGCTTTTTAAAGCATTCAGTGATATTTGTAGGATATGTGTTATAAATGGATGGTTTGTGTATTTCTGAAAGTGGTCATACATTTTTGTGGAATTTTAAATGTTATAACTAAAAATTTAAGGAAATGGGGAACATTTTTGTACTTTACCTGTATATTTGAAACATTTCTCATCAGATTTTATGAAAATTGCAGACATTTATCTTTCCACAAATTAAAGAAATTAATGAATTTGTTTTTAAAGTTAGCTCTATTTTTATATGACTAGATGTAGAAATATAAATCTTTCAACACAGTTTATCAATTTAAGTAGCTTCATTCAAGATTTAAAATGTTTCCCTTTGGTCATTTTACAACTTAAATCCAACATTTAAGTATGTGTTTATATGTTTTAATGCCCCACCATGAATATGGCCGGAGCACATTGTGTTTGTCATGTCTTCCATCCTTCCGTTCTTCCGTCTGTCCTTCCGTCACGCTTTGCATTTAGCTTATTTCAAAGCTCATTTTCAAAGAAACTATCCAAGATATTTTCATCAAACTTCATATGCTGATTGATATTGATGAGAGCTATGCAACAACATTTTTTGACTTGACCTTTCTTTTGACCTTGACCTCACTTTCTATGATGTCGAGCTCTTGGATCTCGAATGTCATCTAGCAAGCGCCCAGTTGAAATCGCGAACGGATGTACGCGACCGAATGTGTCAGTCGATGCATCAGCAATAGAAAATAGCAATAGCTATAAACCAATTTCTTTGAAAACGCTCACAGTGAATAATAGCTTGAAAATAAAATTGCATCAATTATATCTGCAGTTAATTCTATTGCAAAACAACGATATTATGTTTTATTTTCACACAAGAAAAACGTGATGGTTGTTGCGGATGAATTTCTACAAAAGGGTGCGTCGCATGACATGAATAACATTTCGGAACGATAACCATGTAACAAAAACAACACAACAGGCGGTAAAATAATTACAAAATTACATAAACAAGAAAATGCTACAAGACTAAAAAGATTGAATTTCTAAATCTTAGCTTTACTTATGCAATCTTCTAACCAACTTTATCCTAAAAACCGATGATATTGACCTGTATTACTATATTTTTCCATTTCCCAGTATACCATATACCACGCCCTATCGTTAACTCGATCATACTTGTAACAGAGATGAGTCATGGTTGTAGTTTAGATGCAATCACTAATACAATGCTTTGACATTGGCAATTAGAAAGAATGTTATATAAATTCATGAAATCCTTCATAGTTCTTCAATTGACTGAAAAGAATTTAGCATGAACATGTTCGACGGTGTCTGGTCAATTCGAACCCTGCTCCGTTCGGACCATGACATAAGGCCCCAGACTGTAATTGTGATATTATGTTTAAAACTATTTTTATGCCCCGCCATGAATATGGCCGGGGCATATAGTGTTTGTCATGTCCGTCTTCCGTCCTTCCGTCCTTCCGTCCTTCTGTCCTTCCGTCTGTCCTTCCGTCACACTTTGCGTTTAGCTCTGTTCAAAGCTCAGTTTCAAAGAAACTATCCAAGATATTTTTATCAAACTTCATATGCTGATAGATATTGATGAGGGCTATGCAACTGCATCAACATTTTTTGACCTTGACCTTTCCTTTGACCTTGACCTCACTTTTCTTAAATTAGTGTTTAGCTCAGTTTTAAAGATACCATTCAAGATAGTGTAATCAAACTTCATATGTTGATACATACTGATGTAAGCTATTCAATTGCATCAACATTTTTTTGACTTTGACCTTTCTTTTGACCTTGACCTCACTTTTCTTAAATTAATGTTTAGCTCTGTTTTAATGAAACCATTCATGATACTTTTAACAAACTTCATATGCTGATACATACTGATGAGAGCTATTCAACTGCATCAATATTTTTTACCTTGACCATTCCTTTGACCTTGACCTCACTTTTCTTAAATAAGTTTTTAGCTCAATTTTAAAGATACCATTCAAGATAGTGTTATCAAACTTCATAT